TCTCCCCTACCTCCTCACACCGCCCCCTCCCAGTACCAGGTTCCCAGGGAGTTGGGCAGGCCCCTCCTTGGCCAGATACACCGTGGGACCCTTCGCTCCAGGTGACCACTGCGTCTCTTCAACAAGGCTCAGGGGACGAGGGGGCTCTGTGGGCCTACCCTCCCAAAGCAGGAGTGAGCTGGCGCAGAAGAAGCTCCCACGAGACAGGTGGTAGATGATGGCATCCAATGGGCCCGTGATAATGGCCAGCTGTGGACTGATGGGGACCTGAACAGACAACCTTCAGCAGGCAAGAGGGGTGAGGTGCACCCCATCCAAGCAGAGCATGGCCCGGCCTTCCGGGATGGGGCTAGGATGTGGTTTTCCCTGGCACTCTATCAGGACCCACATATTTGGAAATTTATTCCCCGGTCAGTGCCCTCCCAGTCCTTCTGACTGCGTCAGGGGGAAAGTTCCGTGCGGTTGCCAGTATGTCGCAAACACTTCCCCAGCACTCCATAATTTCCCCTTCTCACACACAGGAAGAGTGGGCGGCTTCTTCACAGACTCTGGCAGACAATGAAATCCAGTTAGGGTTTGATGACCTTGTTGTGTCTTCAATGTATTTACTTTTACAGTGACTTTTTGTTTGGTATAGAATAATTGGTTTTCTGCGTACAGGAGGGCACAAAGTTTCTGTTTCAAATTATTTAATTTGAGGGAAAATGTCAGCTAATTTAAAGAAAAAATATGAAATAAGATACCATGGGAGGTGTGTTTAAGATAAAAATTTAAAAAAATTAAAAAAGCAAAAACCATGCAGAGGGTATGTGGTTTTTCATGGTTCTGACAAAAACCGGGCCTCCAATCACTGAGCTGCCAGACATACTGGGGTGAACCCGAAACCAAGGTGAGGAACCACGTGAGGCACCTTCCAGAAGAAAAGGAGCCCGTTCAACCTCAGCAAGAGCCCAGGGCATGTGTGATGTCATCAGAAGATGAGGCTGGAAATGTGAGCCGAGGCCAGCCTGTGGAGAGCCCTGAGGCTGAGTGGACATATGAGGGCTTTCATCTGTGACTACCGGGAAGACCCACGAGATGCCTCCAGCCCACTTCACTAGTAAGAGGGAGCCGGTCCCCAACACTGGGCCGGCCTGGGTGGGGCAGGGGAGAGGAACTGGGGCATGTGGACTCTGAGGCAGAGAGGCCAGGGAAACAGCCTGACCTGCCTCAGCTCTGTGGGTCACAGTGAGCCCTGGAGAATGGACCCGGCACTCCCAGGAGGATGGGGCTTACCACGAAATTCTGTATGTCTTGAAGGCCCCCGCAGGGCTGAGAAGGGAACAAAGTGTAGGACAACACAGCTAGCCTGGGAGGCAGGTGTTAAGCTCAAACAGTCTTCTACGATAGAGATACTTATCACCATATATGGAAAGAAAACTTCTAGGGAAAAGGAGGAAGAGGAAAAAAAAAATTGGAATAGGCTTAAAGCAAAAAAGAAAAAAAAAATACCTAAAGATAGCCTAAACAAAACACACCCAGGCCCTCGCGCCTGCCTCAGTCTGCTGGCCATATGGTGTGCGATAAGCTGGAGCGCTTTTATGTACCTTCCTCTTCTGTCTACAAAGCCGAGAGCCGGCCCTTGGAGAAGGCCCCACTTGCAGCAGAGGCCACACCATGCTCTCATGCCCAGAGGACCGGCTCCAGTCCCCAGTCCCCACTTCAGGAGGCCGCCCGCTGCCACTCCCTCCCCACCCTTGCTGCTTGCCTCGACCCCACAAGGGTCACAGCCTCCCCAGCTGCTTTCCCACAAAGGACACACCAGGGTCAGGCCTGCTGCCTCCTTGGCCAGCTGGGCCACTGGGCCACACCGTGTACCATCAGCCAGCTCAGAAGGGTTCGCCCTAATGGACAAACTGGCTGCCTCTGCCACTCACCGCTGTCCTCCACTGCCGCCCAGACAACCAGTGAAGAAACTTTCCCGGCAGCTATGAACGATCGGCCGCCCAAGGGCCACTGAACAGGGATGCTGAACCATAATGGCCGCTGGGCCTGGGCCATCCTGGTGCGCCCCACCACCCCCAGGTCCTTCTATGAGAAAGCCACCCAGCACTAACCACATCCAAACTTGTCTAGGTCCCACGTACTGGACTGCTCTCGGGCTCTTCTGGCTCTTCCCCAGGACAGCCCAAATCATGAGAGATGCGTGCACTCACCCTGTGCTCCTGAGCTACCCACACTCTCCAGCATCTGGGGACCACTGCCTTGAGCTCTCCTCCTGACAGCCACGGTTCCTTTGTGGCTTTAGACTTTTTTTCCTTTTTAAATTCTTTTTGTGTTCTACACGCTGACACAGAGGTAAAAGAAAATGACACTTAAATATGAAAGAACTCTCTACCATTAAATCTGTAGCTGTACACATTTATCTCACACTCTGGTGAAAAATCACCACCATTAGGGAAGAGGACACATCACATCATGGAAGGTCCAGAAAGCTCACGGAAGAGATATATCCAAGTATGAAAGGACTGCACTCTTGGTGCCTTCACATCCTTCTTGTCTGTGTATTTAGGGACGACTCACTGTCTCCTCAGAGAAACACATCCATGACCTTATTCTATAGGTGTCCATCCAGGAATTCTGCTGTCTGCTCCAAGGCTGTGCTCATGTAGCCATCCAGGCAAGCCATTCCAGAATTTCACTTTAGCACAACTGGGTGTCCAGTGATTTGCTTTAAAAGCTCCCTGGGGAAGGTTTCCAGACTCACCCTCAGGAAAGGGCTCTCAGGGCCAGTGAGCACAGAGCTCCTGGTGTCCCAGACACCAAGGAGCAAGCATGGGCATGGGGATATGTAGGGGACCAGTTGCCCCACAGGCTCCAGAGTCCGTGCTCCCACTGGGCCTCTTTGGGGGCTCTGCAGCTCACCCAGGGGAAGGGAGCCCCTGTCAAACATGTTTTGATCCAATGGAGAAGTGCCAAACTGTGGGGTGAAGGGTATGGAGAAGGCTGAATCCTCCAACAGCATGCCCAGTTAAATCTGAATTTCAGATAAACAACAAATCACTTTTTCTATTAATTATTTTTTTTAACATATAATGTATTATTTGCCCCAGGGGTACAGGTCTGTGAAACTTCACAGCACTCACCATATCATATACCCTCCCCAATAACAACAAATCATTTTTAGTGTAAGTTTAACCCATGTACTCTTCTGGCTTCAACAAGAAAAAATGATTTGCTGTTTATCTGACTTTTGGATTGAATAAGCAAATCATTATGTTTCTTTGCTAGACTCTGGTAGCCCTGCCTATCAGGAAGTAGCAGGACCAACGACCCTGGGCAGCCTAGCTCTTCTCCCCGGTTACCCTCAGAAGCCACTACAGAAACAGCACCGCCTTTTGCCGGCACCTCATTACCACTATTCCCTGAGTGCACTCTGCAAAGGCGTGCAGGCTCTTTGGGGCCCTGTCTTGAGCCTGTGACATGCAAGGCAACCATTCTGCCAAAACAAAAAATCAAGTCTCCAAGAGCCCGGAAGGAAAGCATTTGTGGAAGAGACCCAGTATGAGGAAGCCTGAGGAAAGATGCCCCACGTCTAGGAAGTGTGGGGACACCAAGCACAGGCACTGAAATGTCTCGTGGTGTTCAGATGTGAGCCTGTCCTGGGCAGCCTCACACCCTCAAGGGCACGCATGAGCCCATGTAATCTAAGACCTAGACACGTGAGTGGCTGGTTGGCTTAAGAGAAGTAGGAACCACTTTATAAATGGCCTTCACAGGGCCACAGGGCAGCTGGTCTGGGCAGGCCCCAGCACGATCCCGGCAAGAGACATAGTCCAGCCCCCTGAAAACATCTTGGGGGCACGGACTCATGGGCTCTAGGCCAGACTAAGTGCCACAGATATGGAGGGGCATTTCTCTATATATGATCCAGAAGCCTCGAGAAGCAGCTGTTACTCTCCCACTCTGGCACTAGCAACTCAATCACAGAATGAGATTTGAATCTGTCGACTATTTTTACTATTGTCCAGAAAGCCACTGGCTAATGTTAGGTTGAACTACATGAAAATACCATTTTTGTAAGTCAGGAATGTTAGAATACTGGCAATTACATATGGCCCAAACAGATGATAATGCTGAGTGCCTACTAGGGGGACAGACTCCATGCAAGATCCTTTCAGTACTTGTGCCCATTTTAGAGATGCAGAAACTAAGACACACAAAGTTCAAAGTACTCATCCAGCTAGACACACACCAGGTCTGTGTGACTCCAAAGGCCATATTCATTTTACACACCATGTAACAGGTTCACGTGGCTCCTTCTATCTCTTGTGCTCTCTGCCTGTGGGTCAGTGCCTGGCCATTCCAGCAGCCCTGGGCACCACCAGGACTCCCACCCTGCCGGCACCTGTCTACACAGGGGCCACTCTGTAGTTAATCAAAGCCTGGCCTCCTGAATTAGCAGCAAAGTGTATTTAACAAACAATCTCAAGAGAGAAAAACATTTGAAAGTTTATTTAGAGTGAGAGGGAAGAGGGGCCAAAAAAAGCACTCCTAAAATAAACAGAAAGTAATCAAGGGATAAAACCCAAGTCCCACTAGTTTTAAAATGCCTTAACCGTGACTCTGAGCTAATGTGTAGTGGACCACTGAGAAAGCCGTCAGGTGCAGTGTGATCCAGGACCACTGCATACCCAGACACGGGGACTTCTATGGCTCTCCTCTGAGTAGACCACAGAGCTTCAAAATGGGAAGAGGATGTGAAGCCTCCCAAAAGGACAAGCCAAGATCAGGGAGTGTCACTGTTCTCCTGGCCCACTATAACTCCCCTCAGAGGCTGAGATGAGCACAGTAAGATAAAAGGGCTGTCAGACTCCAACTTGAAAAGAAGAAATGTTCTCCTCCTTATGAAATAAAATGTTAGAAATCCGAACATACGTAACACACAATAAAAGTAGGTTCCACTAGTTCTAAACGAATATCCACAGATATCAAAGTGGGAGAAGAAAAAGAGGACTGACCTTCACGTGGGCCACGTAGTGATGACACGTCTCCTCCATGTGGACCAGCTGCAGCTTCTCTGTGATCTGACCCAAGGACTCTCCCAGCAACACAAAGTAGACTCTGGGCAACTGGCCCTTTGCCTTTTTGGCCACATCAGCCGTCAGAACATAATTGAGGCCTGCCAATAAATAAGGACAAGACGTCAGTGAGGACTCACGTGTAGGATCAGGGCCACCTGCACTCCCCCCTCCCAAGCTCGAAAGCACACTTTGTATGCTACCTGCCTCCCCACTGCAACCAAGGGCTGCAGCCCAAGTCAACACCTTCCCAGAAAGAAGCATGGAGCCAGCATCCTCTCAGAATCAAGAGACAATGAGGCCGCCCCTGTCTTCCCAGTGATTCTCTGTGTATCACATGCCATGGCTCTCCCTGTCTCAAACCCCATGAGTTACCAACTGTGTCACCACTATACACAGCAGTAATTAGAGGTACCCAGCATGGTCGGCATCTTGAAAAGAAGACACTGTGGTAAGCCGACAGGATTTGACTAGAACCCGCAGAAATTATCACGGCTACACATAACCCTGAGTCCTATAGTGCAATGAGACAGACACCCAACACAACGGAGCAATTACCCAATAATCCCCAGATGTTCACGTGTGCTCTGTGATGGCGACATCCCTTGGACCTTGTGTCATCATGTCCCCCGAGCACCGACTACATGCCAGGCACAGGGGACAGGGCAGTCCTGCTCTTCCTCTGTTTACCCTCCGAGGCCACCACAGAAACAGCCCCACAGAGCCCTACCCTCTTGGCACTTACACTCACGGAAACTCAGACCAAGGCTAAAGCTGACTTAATTCCCAGGGAGCTGAGTATACGGATGGTGTATAGTAGAGCGCCTGTCATTTGAACAGCATCACGAGCCCGGTGGGGCTTGTGCTCAGGCATACTGAGCTGCACTCCTGAAGAGGAAAACTTCTCGCCTGTTCCTGAACACATAACATCAGTGGGCAAAACCTACCGGGACACAATCTGAAACTTAAAAAAAAGGGCATGATACAAGATGTGCATTGGATAAATGCAAAAGGTCTTACGTTCCTAATTTCAGAGTCAGTCAGTCACCCTACAACAATGTGCGTCATTAGGCAAATCGGGCGTTGGTGTCAACACACCTATTTCTCTGTTTTTCTGTACCACAGCTGAGATCAGTCCTCTGGGACCCTTTCTTATTTTTTAACTGCTTTGTGGATTCAGGGGAATGTGGCACATTTAAAGTGAGAGAGAGGGAACACTCTGTCCCCAAAATGACCAGATGAGGCTGCAGAGCCATGAAAAATAGACTCTGTCCCCACGAACCAGCCCCTTGGAAGCTGCGGCTCTTGCCCCCGTAAAAGCAGCCCACACCTGCCCACATTTAAGTATGCAAAGCAGGGCAGTGAGGATGGGTCCGGCTTTAATAACATCAAAGGCATCAGCCACCGGGGAGGTCCGAGCCAGGAAGGAGGAAAGGGACCAGGACAGGCGTTCTGCAGCTGCCAAGGGGTGTATTTTGGATGCATCTAATGGTTTTCCTGGGCCTCTGCCATCTCGGGGATCTTGCCATGCCGAGCTGGCAGATTCCTGGTCAGCAAGGGCCGCCCTGCCCCAACGTGTTTACTTCAGCAAACAGCTGATTGCCAAGGCAAGGCTGGGTCACTGAGGGACCTGAGACCCGGATAATCCAAGGCAATATAACGAAGAAGAAAAGAATGCCTTTGGGAAAGTAACAAGACAGAGAAAACACGGGAGCCCAAACGAGAGTTACACACCGGCTCCTTTGGCGACACCAGGTAACGGGGCAGATGCATAGAATGTCAAAGCTTCAGGGTAATTGAGGGACCACTGGGTTCCAAACCTTCATTTTTCAGATGAGGAACCAAGGTCCCAAAAAGGAATCAGGCTTGTTCCGGTTCAGAGGGCCCTCCACCACAGAGCTGAGTCCAGAACTCTCCTAACCTCCAGTGCAGGGCTGTTCCTACCATGCAGATTCTTGGGGCAAGTTTTACATTTTTTGAATGCCCAGACAGCAGAACCCAACACATGCAGTGATTCAGAACTGAACTCTGGCCCATGTACTTTCTTCTCATCACAATTTCCCCAAGCAAGAGTGAAACAGTAAGAAAGGATAAGTATAAATGGACTGTGTTTCCAAGTTCTGTTTAGTAAGTCCAGAGCTCGGGATGGGCATTGCTGGAAGACAAGCCAGTCTACGGCTGGGCAAAACCAACACGGCGGCAGTGGCTGTTGAGTGGCCCCTCCCTGGCCTTCCTCCCGGGGCAAGAGCTGCCCTCCCTTGGGAAGGGTGGGCATGGGGAGAACGGAGGGTGTGAACCCTCTTGCCAGTGAGCTCAGAGAAAGCCAGGTAGAAATGATCACAGGAAGACAGAACAGATAGGATCAGTGCCCCACCCACATCCTCTTGGCTTGTACTATTTCTCTGCTGCCCAGTCCAATTGGCCACTGCCAGCACCTGCACCCCCTTTCCTTAGAGCGTTCTCTGGTGGCTCTACCCACATGCATGGCGGACCAGAAGTGCCAGAGAACCAAAGTCCCTGAGACCTCACTACCGCTGGAGCCCAGCTCCCTCATCCCATGGGTGGAGTAACTCGGAAGGGTCTCCCTCATCCCATGGGTGGAGTAACTCAGAGGGGTGCTCCACACGGACTCTCAGTGTTCCCCAGCAGGATTAAGCAACAACACACCTTCTGTTGGACTGCTGTGATGGTTTAATTTATGTGTCAACTTGACTAGCCTATCACCCAATCTGGATATCAATGCAAAGGTATTTTTATTTTTGTTTTTCTAAAGAGTTATTGATTTATTCAAGAGATAGAACAGCAGGGAGGTGCAGGGAGGGGCAGAAGGAGAGGGAGAGAGAGTCTTAAGCAGACTCTACACTGAGCACAGAGCCCGATGTGGGGCTCGATCTCACCACCCTGAGATCATGACCTGAGCCGAAATCAAGAGTGGACGGCTTAACCAACTGCACCACCCAGTGTCCCGGCAAAGGTATTTTTAAATGAGGTTATGTTTAAATCAGTAGACTTCAAATAAAGCAGATCACCCTCCATAATGTGGGTGGGCCTCATCTAATCACTTAAAGGCCTTATGAGAAAAAGACTAAAGTCATCCCGAAAGAAATATTTCTGCCTTCAGATGCTTCCAAACTACAATGTCAAAATACACACATCCGGCTGGTTCTGTTTCTCTGCAGAACCTGATTGACACAACTTCCTTCCCTTCCTGTCTCACTTTCCTACTGGTGCTTCCTGGGGTTGACCACAGTCTGAATCAATCATGTACACCAAATCCTTGACTCAGGCTCTGCTTCTGGGAGAATCTGAATTAAGATGGGGCAGGTCAGGAAAAGGGAATGGATTCAGCCTTCAGTGTGTGTGGATATTTTCCAACATGACTTTAGTCCTGTGATATTCCACCTCACTGTAGAATCTCTGACTGGATACATCCTTCAGACAGCTGAAGAGAAGACAGAAACAACTCAGTTACTACAAACTGAGCTGAGGACCACAACCACTGCTCTGCTCCAGGCAGAGTGCGAGCATGCCAATACGTTTACCTATCAGATTTTCCTAAAACGTTAAAATATACAATCACAGACAGACCAAATTATCCAATTCGCCAAGTATAATCATTCTGGAAGCTTTTCATCTTCATAACTGCCTGGCTAATGCTTCTTCCTGATTTAAAATTTACTTTGACATTTTAAATCACATAAAAAGAAGTCAGTTCCATATCACACTCTCTCTTCGAGAAAAAAGCCACCAGGAGACTCATCATGGGAAGCCCAGCCTGAGTGAGGGGGTTCTCATAGCCATCAGGGTGGCAAGAGGTGCAGAACGTTCTGGAGCCCTGAGTTCAACTGGCAGGTTTAAAAAGTACCTACCCAAGAGCGTCTGAAAGGGAGCCCCAGTGCAAAGAGATACCAGAGAAGCAGCCAATCAGCTGGCATGCTCCAGCAGCCTGGCCTGGTGGGAGGGTGGCTGCCCCTAATTCGAGCCAGGCCAGCCAGTCCCCGTCCCAGGAAGGGTGCTGGTTCTGATTAGCGCCTGCTCCCACCGCACAGTCCACATCCTCAGGTTTTCCTTCTGGCAGCTTGTGTCCATGCCATGTCGAATGATGTCATGTTGATGGAAAAGCTGACCAGCCCCAAGTCATGTTGCAGCCTCCTCCTCTCCCTGCCCCCAGCTGCTTCCCCAGGGCCCCCCATACTGGCCTGGGCCAGGAGGGAGCCAGCTGTCTTGCATCAACTCAGCTCTGGTCAGTCCTAGCAAGTTTTTTATTCATTCCCATTCTCCATCGCAACATGACTTCAGCTATGAAATTCTAACTAATAAATCCTCCTTCCAGACTTACTGAGCTTCCCTTAGAGTCTCCCAAAAGAAGGGAGAGGAAGGATATTTCCCCCTTTACTAGCTCTCCTAAGCTTGCTCCCCACCCCATAAAGGAACGAGGTGGTAATTATTAGACGAGGTTACCCCATACCTCATGTAACATGGATTTGCCTCATTATCCTATCTCCATGCTTCCCAAGACACCAGAATGAACTTGGAGAATGTTACGTGTGCTCTCTGGAGTAGAAACACTCCGTCCTGCCCCCCGCCACCTAAAGCCAGAGGAAGGGTCTGGAGACAAGTCGCCTTGTTTCGACCCTACTTCTGCTGCTGGCTTGGATGACCTGGTGCCATGCTTAGGACCTGGGTTCCACTGCTTGTCCGGAGGCAGGGAGGCACCCCTGCTTGCTCACGGCTCAGGGTGCCAGATCAGAGCACAAAACACAACGATCTAGGGCTCATCCCTCCCTGGTTTTCATTTAGCCCTCTAAGTGAGAGTCTGGAATTGCCAGCTCCATCCCTAGCCCCCAGAGCCTGCCCAGCACATTTCGGCTTTAGCCTGGCCAGGAAGCAGGTAGAGGCTCAGCCCCGGGGCCGGAGCGAAGGGGCAGAACGCTTCCAGGCACAGCCCTCCCCACCCTTACGGCAGCCGGGATGCTCCAAGGAGTGACAGGCTGCCTCCCAGGCCAAGAATGAAGGGATTCTGCCCACTTGGGAAGGGCGGAACTCTTGTTTTAAACTGCTTGGTGAGATGGGTTATAAATTTGTTCTTCGAACAGCTACAGCTGGACACGTGCCTGCACCCCAGCAGGGAAAGGAGGGCCTACCAAACAAAAGGGCCTGGACACATCCAGAAGTGGGGGTTGGGTGAGGGAGCGTCAGCTGTTTGCACTGGACTCCCTCCCTGCAGAACGCAAGCTCCTGGAGGGCCAGGGCTCTGTCTCACTGGCCTCTGCTCTTTGCCCAGGGAGGGGAGCCTGTACTCCGGCACTCTAAAGAGCTTAACTATTTGTGGGGTGCCTGGGTGGCTCAGTTGTTAAGTGTCTAACTTCAGCTCATGTCATGATCCCAGGGTCCTGGGATCAAGCCCCACATCGGGCTCCCTGCTCTGTGGGAAGCCTGCTTCTCCCTCTCCCACTCCCCCTGCTTCTGTTCCCTCTCTCGCTCTCTGTCAAATAAATAAATAAAATCTTAAAAAAAAAAAAAAAAGAACTTAACTATTTGTAGTTAATGACCCAACAGGTGCTTCCGTGACTGGCTGCTGGCTGGGCTAGTTCCCGAAGCTGTTGTCTCTCAGCTCCCAACCCACCCTGCTCTGTGAGGCTGGGTCTGGGCCTCTGAATACCTCTGCTAGCGGGTCTGGGGAGGCTCAACCCAGATGGTCAGCTTGAGGGAGGCTGGCAGAGGAAGAAGGGCTGCATCTTCCTGCCTGCTCCCTATTCCTGTCAGCTTCAGCCGGCAACAGTCTTCCCTGGCAGCTAGAGCCAACTGTAGTTAATACCAGTGTCAGCTTTTCCCCCACTGCACTAGCTGCTACCCCTCCCCCAAGGTTGAGGTCTCAGGTCAGCAGAGTCCCTTCTCCAAGCTTCTAGGTTCTGTTCGCCGCAGGTGTGACCTCTTCTGTTTGTCTACTTGACCAGGGGTCCTCAAGTCTCAGCCCCCTCAGAGGTGTGCTGAAGGGCAGGTGGCTGGGCCCCAGTGCCCCAGGGTCTGATTCAGTTAGAATGTTCATTTCTAACATTCCCACGTGCCGCTGCTGCAGCTGGACTGGGCACTACGCTTTAAGACCTCCCTCCCCCACCGGTGCCGACCAGAAGTGGGGGCTGTTTCTGGCAGTGACTACCAATCAAATCCATGACCTGCTTTCCCAATTCCCGATATTAAATTCTGTCAAAACAACTGGTTTCTGTTTTCCTAACTGGATGCTGCCCTTCCAGGGGCCAAGGCAGAGTCACCCACTATAGAGTCTCTGGAGTTTCCATGGTCCTGTCAGAGGCCATCAGCCAGCCTCGAACACCCTGGAGACCACGTGGGAGCTGTGGTTTCCCACTGCTAAAGCAGATGATGAAGAGGAGAGTGGAGGTCCTTCCCCAGCAGGTCCTACCAAAGAGGAGGAACCAAAGAGGTCAGCCTACAAGTGACATGTAGCATCTATGGCTCCCCAAGCCATCCCCGGGGAGGTCCTGCGGCTCAAGATGCCAGCAGATAGAAAAGGCTTCCAACAGCTCTTCGGAAGTACCCAGCACACACTGCACCAGCCACACTGCACCAATGCAGCCACTCTATGGATGCAACCCAGCCGTGGACATGCAGACACTGAGAGGGGGCCTGGAAGGTCGGCCCAAGGCGGGCTTTCATTTGCTAGGCATTCCATGGCCAAACCCACCAGGAGCCAGGCTCCTCTGCAGCTGCCAGCAAGGGGAGAGAGGAAAGCTCATCACTCTCTGGCCTTGAGTTCCCAACAGAGGCCTGCACAGTGACGCTGAGCTTGGATGACAGCGGAGGGTGGCGGTGCCCCCACCTTCCACCACCTGGAGACCAGGCACCTGATCCTCCTGAGGATGCAGAGCCCAGGCCCTGCCTTCTGTGCTGGACCCCAGGGATACCCCACCACTGTTGGACCCCCACAAGCTACCTGTCACTTCCTTGATTTCTATCACATTTCCTTAAGGGCTGCCTGCTTTTCCCTCCTCAAGTCTCTCCATATTCCACAGCTAGCTCATGTTTTACCAGATTTCTACGAAGATGGAGATCCAGCACCTTGCCCTGAATGCCTGGGGACAACAAAGAAAAACGGATGGAGAATATTCTGCATCGCCCCACTGATACCAAAATTCCTGTTACCATGTATAAGCCTTGATCTAAAGTAAATGTGGAAAAATACTGCTTAGATTGTAAAGGGATGTTTGATTTCAGTGGGAGAGCGTGCTGCTGCTCAGAGTCCAAGACTTGCACATGGGCGGCAGCCCGCCTCCTCCACACTGCGCACTAGAGGCAGGACCATGCGCTATCCACCAGCCTGTTTCTCCTGATATTCCCCGACTCTTCTGGGGTCATGGTTGAGCCTAGACTCCATGATAATTCTGCCTAGAGGTCAATGAAAGGGGCCCCAGTCACTGGGGCCCAGAAGGCCCACTGGCGGGCAGCAGCATGAGAAGACACCCACATCTCCTCCTGGCTCAGCCCACAAACCTTCTAATCAGAGTCCACTCTACCCCCGTCTTATGGTCTGACATCCTTCCTGCTCAAAAACTGGCATCTTGGGTTTCTTCTCGTCTGTTCCTGCTGTACCAAAATACCTTCATTACCACCACAGTGATGTCATTAAAGAGCCTGGAATGGTGTACACTGCTTCAGGATCAAAATAATAGAAACTCTGTAACCCCCACTGGAGGCTCCATGAGGATATGCTTGGCACATGCAGGCACACAATAAACATTTGTCAAATGAACACACACATGAACTATTAATCACTTGCTTATTTTAGAGTTCTAGGAGAGTTCTGCTTATTTTTATACACACCAACATAAACCTTCAACTCAGTTCTTTCATAATGTTTCTTAATGGAGTCCAGCTACATCATGAGTTGGAATTTGATAGAAGACACACCATCTAATTGGGCAGAGGACATAGGAGTCCTAGGACCAATAGAAAAAAATGTTTTCCTAGAGACTGATTAGGGAGGAGATGAGAAAGAGTTTTTGGAAAGCAAAACTAAGTGTGCTCAAACCAGGATTCAACTCCTGGCTTCACCGACAGCTCTGTGACCCTGAGCAAGTACATTTCTCACGGAGCCTGCTCTTTTTCTCACTGGGCTCCACATAAAACGTTTGTTAATTCTTTGTCACCAAGTCCTGAGTGCACGGAATGTTTACATTCAGTTTTGAAATTCCTAAGTTGTTTTTTTTTTTTTTTAAAGAAATCTCTATGAACAAGTTCAAGGTTTGATTGTTGAACTTATTCAAACCATCTGAAGATCAAGATAAGGTATCAAGGAGACTATTAGCCTAGAAGGATTAGCACACTGTTAAATAACGCACAGCTTTCAAGGTGCGGCTGAGAAACAAACTAGAGCACGTGTGCATGTTCGCGCACCCGCGAGCGCACATGAACGCGCACAAACACACACGCGCGGGCGCACACACACACACGCTCCAGATCAGTGCTTCTCGAACGTAAATGAGCACACAGATCCTGCGGGATCTTGTTCAAATGCAGATTCTGGTTCTCAGACCCAGAGCGAGGCCAGAGATTCTACATTTCTAACAAGCACCCAGAGGACGCTGGTACTGCTGGATCCAGGGACCACACTGTGATTAAGGAAGGGAGACACTCAACTCTACAAATGTCTAAGAAATGCAGGAAGTCCAGGTCCTTATTGTTTTTTTGGGTGTTTTTTTAAATTTTCCTAGAATTCTATTTTCTATTATTAAATCAGCCTTCCAAGGAAGAACAAAGCATTTATTAATCTGCAGGAGTGTTCTAGATTCATTTCCTTCAGGTGACCATGTGCTCTTAAGTTCTACTCTGCCCCGATCCTACCTGTTCCAGGGAGTGGACCACTGGAGTTGGGCTAGCAAGCTGGCCTTCTCCAACCAGAGAAACAGCAGGACCTGCTGTCTCTTTTCCGTCATCCGAAGCTGACAAAGCAGCTCCTCCTCTTTTGCAAGTCTAGGGCTTCATAAATTTCAGCATCCTGATCCTACCATCCATCCCTGGTCTCAGATTCCACAGTCAAGGGCTTACGGCCCTGACATCTGGCTGGTGCCCCAGGCTAAGGGGGAGCCTCCAAAGACCCACCACTTCTTTTTTCTAACCAAATGGAATGTTCTGTAAGGGCCAGGCTCCAGTCGCTACCTTTCCACAAGTCCCACTGGCCTGTGACACCTGTGGCCCTGTGAGGTTTCAGTCTGGTCACAGATGTGGGGAAAGAATGCTTGGGGTCAAATGTTATTTGTTCTAGAGCTGGAGGCTACATTAAATTGGGAAACAGAAAAAAGCAGGAACTGTAGAGGGAAAGAGGGTCTGGACTGTGTATCTGCTGCCTGCAAAACCAGCCAGGATGCACAGGGCAAGCAAAGGCTCCAGAAGAATCCCTCAGCGACCATAGTCGCACAAGCCGTCTCCAGCTAAGATGACCGCCCCAAGCCCTGACTCAGGGGCTCATTACCAATGTCTCCTGGAACGTGCTTGCCGTGGAAGCTGAAGCAGGCGGTGACGTTCAGGCAGTTCACAGGCTGCAGCCCGTCGTGACACTGAGGCGCCGTGATGTTGATGGAGGCTGGGAGGAAGATGGAGACGTCCACCGTAATGACGGGTCTCGCCCTGTGCGTCAGGAGAGGGAGGTGACTTAGCCAGGCTCTCAGAACGGAGCAAGAAGTAATCCAGAGAGAGAAATCCTCGGCCTTCAGCCCAGCACTTAACGAAACCATGAAATAACCCGCGAGAGAAGGGCCAATGGGCCCTGTAAATACTTTCTCCTGGTTTTCGACGTGGCTTATTTCCTAATAAATTAATGGTTAACTTCCCAATAGTAAAGGCAAGTAAGTTGTTAATAAAACACATCTGGGTGAAACCATAAATGAACCACCAGATGTTGGGTTATTATTTAAAATTTCACCAATTAAGTTCCGATTTCCATTTTATTAGGAAGATAGTAATATATTTAAGGGGAGTTCCTACAGCGGATGCCAGGACTCGAGAAATAGCTGTACTGTCAGGAATGGCTGTGCCCTTACTGTCTCTGGAAGCATGAGCTGCAGAGTTCCAGTCCCATCCAGTGCGTCAAACCTCGCCCTTCCTTTACTCCCTCAATTCATTAAGCATTTTTCTAAAAGAACTTGATCCACAGAGTCCCAGCTGGTAACAGCGAAGCATTTCAGAGCTGAAGAAATCAACCCACCTGGCCCCAGGAGCAAGTGAAACCCTATAAACATTGGCATGCTTAACACCAACGTAGACGGCCAGCATCCCCACCCACCTGGTACTGGATCGATACACAGCATCCCTCCTGCACCTTCTGGGGATCCCCAGGGTTGGCCGACCAAGCTGACAGTGACTCAGGCCGTCCTGCTGTCATTGCAGGCACCTGCTCAGGGACGGTTCCCCTAAGCTGTGGCTTAGCCTTCTCCCCTCCAGACCTCACAATGAGACCCTTTTACCTCCAGGGAGCCCCAGCCTTCCTGCCACTGGGGTGATATAACAAGATTAAGGGGCATTAGCGGCTTGAGAACAATGACCTTCCTTGTGTACAGTGACCCTGCCAAGAGCCCGCAGCGACAAGACAGATGGGAAAAAGAAACACAACTCTCAGAGAAGAAGGTATTAAGGAAAACCTCAGGGAAAGAGGGAAGGAAGGACACATGTGGCCCCAGGGGGGTGAAGGGTTTTCATTGCTGCCACCACTGCCATGGACGTGGGTTCAAGACTGGGAGAGTTGGGACAAGGGCAAGGGAACGGTGGGTCTCCCAGAGCAAAGCCAGCTGTAAGGCCAACAGACATCAGACAATAGCAGTGCCTGAAAGAAATCCAAGGTCCCGGCCTTCCAATTTTCTTCTGGGTTCATTCTTGTAAGACACTCTAAATAACACAGAAAACAAATGCTCTGCTCCTTGTCAAGAGGACTGAACAGATGCCAATGGACACTCTAGAAAGCCCCAGGTCCTTCCATGGCCAGCTCATGGTCCCTCTCCTGGGAGGCCTTCTCCAGGACTCCTGCACCATCTTCATACCTCCCCTCACTTACTCACTAAGGTCACTGTCTGTTTCCAAGGCTGCTCCACCAGTCCACAGGCCCCTGAAGGACTAGGACCCCCCAAATTCATCCCGATAGCCTCAGGATTGGTGTTCAAAAACCTGAGGTGTGAAATGGATGCCAATCTCACAACAGGCTCAGGGACTGAAAACCACAGGAGCGCCCTAACTTTCACAAAACAGACAGAGGCGCCAGGGAGTGCTGGTCTCCACCCTGTGAGATTTCCACCCTGCCCAGGGCACATGCTCCTTGGTCACCACACGGAAGGAAGGCCTCACCCCCTTCTGCCATCCCAGGGGCCACCCAGTCCCCACTCCCGGCAGAGCCCTACAGAGGAAGGCCGGGGGAGCAGGCCGGGAAAATGACGTCGATGGAGGCCGTCAGCACAGGATCCTCTGAGGTGAGGACAAAGACCTTCAGAAGCACACATCTCACCAGCATCAGTCAGATCAGGCCCTCGATCCTGTTTCAGTTCCAAGAATTGTTCTTGGACCAGGGAAAGCCCAGAAATCTTTCCTGAACTCTCTCATCGCTCCCTTCGAACGGAAGTGGCACCGCACCAGGCGCCCATCGCCCTCACACAGGCCCTGCCCTCTGCAGCTAATCGGAGAGCGCAAAATCAGCAAGGGCAGAGTGGGGCCAGCCCATGGTCCTGCCTGCGGAGGGCCCATCCCTGTGAGAGAAGCAGAGGGGCGCTGAAGGACAGCACCATAAAGGCCTTTAAGACTTAATTTTTAACAAGCTGGTAGCTAGACTACCTCTTTCTGATGACCCCAACAGTTCAAATCCTGATACAGACAGTCCCTGACTTACGACGAATCAGTGTAACAACTTTTCAACCTTATGATGGGCTGACGTGCACTTAGGAGAAACCGAACTTTCAACTGTGAATCTGGATCCCCAAGGATCCCCTTGCTGGTGCTATGTGGAATGACTGGTGACGCTGGCCCTGGGGCCACAGCTCCCAGGCTCCGCCACCAATCACCTACGCTGACACCCTTTCTGTAGCCGCGTGGAGACTCTGTTTGTCACTTCAGGCACAGCTTTCAGTAATTTACGTGAGAGAGTCAACACTTGATTATCAAACCAGCTTAGTGTTGGAGGACTGTGCCCGACCGCAGGCGGGTATAAGTGTTCTGAGCACAGCTGAGGCAGGCCAGGCTAAGCCATGGTGTTTGGGAGGTTAGGGGTAGTAAATATGTTTCCATGTAGGATATTTTCAACTTACAATGCGTTTATCATAACAGTTAGTCCTTCCTAGGTCAAGGTAGATCTGTACTTCCCCTGCATTTACCTCCAGGTAAAACCAGGCAGGATGCCGTCTGATGGAGTATTGCTCCCATCACCCCAGCCTTCTGCGGGGGGCAGTGCTGCACGTGGGACAGACACAGTCGGGCAGACTGAGCGCTGACACCGCCGCGAAGATGGAGGCTACTAAACCAGCCCTGGAGCCATCCCCTCCAGGCAGCCAATTAACATCTGTGTCCTTAACGCCACTCACAGTAAGGTGTGCCCTTTGCGGCAGCCCGAAGGATTCCAGGCCGGTACACATCTGGACTCTCCCTGAGGACGTGTAAGAATGGACATGGTGTGGAACCCCTGGGTGGCTCAGTGGGTTAAGCCCCTGCCTTCAGCTCAGGTCATGATCTCAGGGTCCTGGGATCGAGGCCCGCATCGGGTTCTCCACTCAGCAGGGAGCCTGCTTCCCCTGCCTCTCTCTCTGCCTGCCTCTCTGCCTACTTGTGATCTCTCTGTGTGTCAAATAAATACATAAAATATTTAAAAAAAAAAAAAAAAGGAATGGGCATGGTGTGTTATATGAGCCTGTACATGATTGGTTTCTTTTTCTGGTCTCACCCAAACTCTGAAGGGACTCAAGTTCCACCTAACTTGCTGGTCAGCTAGGCCATGCCTGGGATGCCCACCTCGCTTAGCCAGCTGACGTCTCCAGACCTTCTTGTCCACAGTCGTTCAGCCACATCCAGCACCTTATCAACAGATGCCTTCCTGGCCCCTCAGACACACTCGACAGTCCCTCTGTCTGTTCCTCCCTGGCCCCCCTCTCTAAGGGGTCCCAGTTTGCCTTCCCTGCTCCTGGAAGAGACCTGAGGTGGTCACCCTCACCCACATTCCACGCTGAACCTTGCCCTAGACCTGTTCCAGTGTTGGGGCCTGGCTCAAAGACGAGGTCCCTGCCCCCCATGGCCTATACACCACATCCCACCTTCCTCTCCTCCCTCAACCCCCATTCAGCCTCGTCCCCCTCTCCCTCTGTCTCTTCAGGCCCCAAGGCGAGAGTGGGGTCAGGGCAAGTTTTGTATGGATGACGGTGAAGCTAAAGGGGACCGCCTCTGACTAGTGCAGGACAGGAAAGGGCCAAGGAGAGCAGAAGAGGTTTCAAAGACTCTTGGCCTAATCTCTGAGCCACATGGCAATCCCATTTGCTCCTTGGTAGCCAAGCTTCTGGAAAGGAGTCAAACTTCACCATCTGTTTTCTTGCTTCTCCTTCTCTCTCCCACCCACAGCAATCTGACCTCCACACCTCACTTCTCTTGACCTGCCAGAGCCAAGGACACCACTGTCACCTCCTAACATGACTACGTGGCCCTCTCTGCTGGGTTTGATGCGGGCCAGGGCCCTTGACCACATGACCCTGCCTCATCATCCTCATGGCACTTATCATAATCGACAATTATCTCCTTTTTAAAATTAATAAAACTTCAAGGTCACTTGCTTTCCTCATCCATAAAATGGGAATAATAGTAGTAATATCTATGTCATGGAGTTGTTAAGAAAACTAAGAATTAAAATATGTTCTCTCGGGACACCTAGGTGGCTCAGTCGGGTAACATACAACCTTTGATTTTGGCTCAGGTCATGATCTCGGGGTTGATTCTCTCTTAAGCGTCTCTCTCCCCACCCTTTTTTTTGACCCTGCCCCTCCTAAAAAAATTATGTTCTACCAACAAGAGAACAGAAGAACAAGTTACAGTGTATTCAGTCAGCAGACTACTGCTCAGTAAGGGGAAAAGAGCACCACAGAACGGCTCAGAGGCATCTCAAACGCGTTGCACCGAGTGAAAGAGGCCAGAGCCGAGAGAGTGTGGACTCCATAATTCCATCTACGTGAAATTCTAGAACAGGCAGGACTGATCAACGGCAATGAAAATCAGACCAATGATTGCCCGTCGGAAGGGGGCATAACTGGGAAGAGGCAGGAGGAAACTTCCTGAGGTGATGGAAATGTTCTTTATCTTAATGGGTGGCAGTTACACACGCAGGCACCTGCTTACAACTGTACAAGCGCTATCCTTCAATCAGCAGGCTCCGTTATATGCAATCTATACCTCCAAAGGGAAAGAAAAAACCAGAATGACCAGAGAGAGCTGAGCATGTGGGAGCCCAAGCGGTGCCCGGCATGTGGCAGGCACTCAGCAAACACTGGCTGAATGGGTTGCTTGCACAGTTGCTCTGTGAGACGCACCCGGGATCTGACACACAGTCAAATAAATAAATAAAATCTTAAAAAAAAAAAAAAGGAGAATCTACAGGATATACCTTAAGCCAGATATTCCCGGTTTTAGGAGCACCTTTTCTCAACTGTGAGAGCTGGGGAACGTGTTTTATTCTAGAGGAATCGTGCCAAGCCAAAGCAAGTTGCTCGGGACAGTGAAGAGGAGAGAAGGATGCCACAAAGGCGGTGGGTAAGCTCAGCTTCTCAAGTGTCACCTCAGTCATTGGAGGCTACGTAAGCTGTTTTACCTGAAAGGGGATGGCCAACCCACAGGACGGGGGTGAGGGCTGGGGGATAAAGAAAGTGGAGATCCAGTCATATGGCAACAGTGACATCACCACCTCAGGGACACACAAGCCACTATCAAATACTGAAGGGCTGCTACATGCAAAATATAGAATCAAGAAACAGAATTTTAAGGAGGCACATTTTGCATAAGTTATCTAAGCATTGCTAACATTCATTGACCCCCTACCTGTACTATGCATTTTGCATGTAGTACTAATTCACAGAGTTCTGTGGACCCAGTGAGGAAGTACTACCATTCTCCTGTTTAATGGGCGAGAATCTTGAAAGGCGGGTAACCTGGAGAAACCCGCCTCCCAACAGCAGAGTGGGGGTTCGAACCCAGGCCACCTGGCCCTGGACCTCACCCTCCCAACCTAAGGTGATTCTGTCTCCTTAACAGGTTAACATCCCGAGTTAGCTAGGGTTAACTGGTTCCCTCCAAAGTTTCTAAGTTCTCACCCCTAGGGGCACCTTAAGGGCCGGGTTCCTTGTAGCCAGAGACTTGGAGGAAGGCACTGCTGAATGAGAAGAATCTGGGGTGTGCAGCTCCATGGCCTCTGGGACCCCTTCCAGCTCTAAGATCCCACTGGCCTATTTTAGAAAGTTCTGCCATCAGGTTATTAACAAAACCTAAGAGCTGGCTCCCACTCCAAAGGGTAATTTGGCCTCCTCTGACTCATATGGACAGAAATACTTGGGAGATGGTTCAGGGCAGAATGGCAGCCCCCAGCCTTTGTGGGAGAGAGTCAGGGTGCATGGGCTCCCATCCCACACCTCTGCCTCCACAGGCAAGGAAGTCCTGCTCAAAGGGCAGGAAGCTCCCCGCCCCTGGGGATCTGGGGACTGACAAGGTGGGGATGAAGAGCTGGGACAAGGCAGTGCTTGGGAGCCCCTGAGTGTCCTGGTAACCACAGGAAATGAGGACATCATGTACACACATTCATGAAGCAGCTGTTCAAGGCAAAAGGCAAAACCGCCAGGGCTGAAGCCACCCCAAGCCCTAGGGAGGCTACTGTCCCAGAGCTACAAGCCACTCGAGGCCCGCCAGCTGGAAACTCTGCAACTGGGGTAGCAGACAGCCGCATTTCTACTTTCCGAGCACCTCCAGGAATAGCACGGAGGGAACTGCTGACTGACGGTGAAGAACTTCCCCAACCACCCACCTCACCAAAGTCCAGCCCTCATTGCGAAGAACGCAACCCAAGAAGTGAGAGAGAAGCATCTCACCTTAGAAGAACCACGCTGTCCGACATGAAGGCTCCAATAGTTACATCTGAAAATCAGAAGTATGTAGCATTCAGAGACGTGCTGAAGCCCCTCCCAGCCTACCCACCCCCTGGCAAGGTCCCCAGCCATGGTGGCCCAGCACTGAGCTCGGGGGGGCCCCCAACAGCCTTCCTGTGGGCCACACGGTGATCTTGGAAGAGGGAGAGCCACATTGCCCCACGTGGCAGCCAATCACCACATGGCTTGCTGAGACCTTGAAATGTGGCTGGTATGAAAACCATGAACTAGCCCAAAACTTTTATATTGATTATTAAAATTAATTTCACCTATTCCTTTTTATCTTTTTTATGTGTTTCCTAGAATACATTAAATTATGTATGTGGGTCACATTATGTATCTTTTGGACACGAGTGAATTAGAGAGGCAGATACTTAGAACTAAATGAGCTGGAAAGAAGCTCTAGGTTCTGTAGAACATGTGAATCATCTCTGCTCCACCCCTCACTCCCTGTGACCTCAGAATCTCTCAGTGTCCTTGTCTGTACTGTGGACATAATTATCCTAAGGGTCTTCTTCAAAAGCTGATGATACTTCATAATACTTAAATTAGAAGACATCTATTAAATACTTACTAAATATTAGTTGTTAAATGTAATATTTTAAAAATATTTAAATACATAGGTTAAATCACATATTTAAATCAAAAAATTCAGGAAATACTTAGTATACTACAAACCAAGACCCAAGTGCTAGATGGTAATTTTTTTCTCCTTTTTTTAAGATCTTATTTATTTATTTCTGAGAAGAGAGAGAGAGCACAAGCAGGGGGAGCAGCAGGCAAAGGGAGAGGGAGAGGCAGACTCCCCTCTGAGCAGGGAGCCCAATGTGGGGCTCAATTCCAGGACCCTGGGATCATGACCTGAGCCTAAGGCAGACGCTTAATGACTGAGCCTCTCAGGTGCCCCAGTAATGTTTATTTTTAAGTAACTTGAATTATAAAGTATATACTCATCTAGTAGCTCTCTGCCTTTCTTCCCCTCGAGTATAAACTCCTTAGTCCTGGGGTTCCCATTACCACCTTACAGAAGCAAGCATCTGAATCCAAGACAGACTGAATCCCTGTGTCTATACAATGTCCTCAATTAAGGAAAAAGAAACAGCAAATCCATGAATTGTAGGGCTGCTAAAATTTCTGCACTTGGGTATGCTTGTTAATTTTGCTGTTTTCCAAGCCTTTTTGAGTTGACTAGATGCTTGAAAACAAAAGAACCTGAGGAACCTGTCATTTCTTTTATGAAAAATATAAGAAGTTCAGGGGCGCCTAGGTGGCTCAGTCATTAAGAGTCTGACTTCGGCTCAGGTCACGATCCCAGGGGCCTGAGCTCGAGTTCTGCACTGGGCTCCCCTCTCAGCAGGGAGCCTGCTTCTCCCTCTGCCCCTCCCCACATTCACGTGCTCATTCTCTCTCAAATAAATAAAAATTTCTAAAAATCTTAAAAGAAAAAAATGTAAGAAACTCCCATACATCATGAAGCGTGAACCCACCTGCTCACAGAGAACGTGCGTCTCTGCCCACTGCGATGTGGCCTCTGGCCTGGCCCCTAAGTTCTCTGCAGCTCAGTACCCATGTCTCTCACGTGGGGAACACCCCACCTCTACCCACCGGCCGCACTATGGGAGCCATTGTGCACGTGGGAGCATTTTGCATATACATCAGGTATTATTCCAGGACAGCCACAAATTACCCAAAACAAGAAGAATGGCCTTCTCCGACTTAAGCCCATGAGGCCCACAGGAACAAAAACTTCAGCAACAACCCTTTCCTCTCCCCTCCTCCTGGCTCTGTAAGGTTACAAAAAATGATCAAAACTGCTGCCCATAAGAAACTACCAAATGCGCGGCCCTCGTACAGCCCAGCACTGGATCTCACAAGTCCTTCCGGGGCACTTTAAGTGGAAGAAGTACTTCCTCAAAGACAGCAAGAGGACCTAGAATTCCAGGGAAACGCTTCCTGAATTCCAGGAACATTTCAGATTTTTTCAAATTCTCATCTCTCTTTCCTCACCTCACCCCACTCCATCCCCTTCAAACCCCAAAAGAACCACTACCCCCCTGCCCAGGGCATTTTCCCTAAATCAGACAACACTTGGGACTGAGGTGGGAAATGGTACATTTTTCTTCAATTAGCCTCAACCACCATGAGGCATTAATTCACCCTGAAGACAAGGCAGCCAGAACAGTGAGGGTCTGTTTTGTCCATCAGGGAAGGGGCAAGGTTTTCTTTTTTGCTCCAAATATTTCAATTTTCTTGCAGGGGTTAGGAGGTGGGGAAAGTGCTGCCCAGCTCCTTTTTTTCCCCTCTCAAGGGTAAGAGGTCTCTAACTATGCTTAAATATTAAGGAGAACATGAGGTTTCATTATCATTTTTAATGTGGACAGTGCTTTTTTTCTCTTCATTAGAAAGAGCTGATGCCACAGAAATCCTGTTCTTTTTTTTCTTTTTTTATTGTTTCTTTTGATATCAGTCCATCCTTTTGGTGCCGAAACTCTTCAAAATAGATCATTCTAAAACCCCAAAGTAAACTTCAACACCTTAAAATCAAATACCAGGGACGCCTGGGTGGCTGTTGGTTAAGCAGCTGCCTTTGGCTCAGGTCATGATCCCAGCATCCTGGGATCGAGTCCCACATCGGGCTCCTTGCTTGTCAGGGAACCTGCTTCTCCCTCTGCCTCTGCCTGCCATTCTGTCTGCCTGTGCTCGCTCTCTCCTTCTCTCTCTCTCTGACAAATAAATAAATAAAATCTTTAAAAAAAAAAAAAAATCAAATACCAGGCAAAGTATCCCCTCCTATTATGGGAATTTTCCTCATCCCACATAGATGTCACCACAGCTTAACCCAACTGGAAATGACTCTACCTCACACACTTATCTTCTTTTATCTCAGATGCCTTTAAAGAAAAACAGCTTACCAGGATAGCCATTTCCATCCATATCAATGCCTCCTGATATGGACTGCCCAAACATCCGCAGAACCGGACTTATTTTCCGGCCGGACAGCTTCTGAAACAGATAATAGGGAAACTGAGTCACTGGATAGGAGCACAGTGGTGAGTAAGAACGCAGGACTGTTCTACGCAGCTTCCGTTGGATGCTTGGTCCTAGAGCTGTGGAAAGAGAAAACTGTGGTCCTAATTTGATCCTGGGGTTTTTAGCACATGGCCAAAGACCACGCACTCGGTTACGGTAACTTGTCTTCACAACATGTCATTGTTTAAAAATTTTTCAAGCTCAGTGTTCACAAAAAACCCACCTAGACTTGTGTGCTAATGTTTTGACATGCCACGTGAAGTTCAAAATGGATGTTTACTTCCATTTCCAACAGCGGTTCTGTTTTGTTTCCACACAGGTGGAGCTGGCTAGAATTCTAAGAACATGTTTTCCTTAGATCTCTCTACCCAAATATGTACCAAACATGGGCCACCCCTCTCCTTGGAGGTGCCGTCAGTCTTTCCCCGGGGCAGGGGGGGGGCAGGCGGTGAGCACGTCCAGCTGGCAGAGATGGGCACATGGAAACCACCTCTCAACCGAGCTGATCAGAAGACCTACAGGTTCCTGAGCTTTCCATACAGGTGAAACTGTCCTGTCTAGAAAATCTGGAGCTCCAGGTCCTGAACCTTCTATAAACTGTAGGTAATAATAAAAAAAAAAAAAATCAGCCAAAGCCACTCTCTTCCCTACAAGGCAGCCCCCCAACCAGCCAGTTGGGAGTTCACAGCTCTACCACCATAGGGCATCTGTACTTTCATTCATCGTGAAGTTCAGTCTGTATTAACATACGCTGTCTTGGTTCAGGGCTATTTACTGTACAAGTGGCCTACGTCACTCATCATCTACGTGGCGCAGTTCCTTAAAAGATATCAAACTTGCTGAATCAGAAAAGTCCCATTTCCTGGGATCTGACCTGCTTCTTCTTCCCTTTGTTTATACAATCTCTCTGGGGAGGCTTACCTCCCAATGCCCTCACTGTGGAAGATAAGAAAATGCTTTGTTTTCATGCCATACAGCACAGCACAACCCCTATCGGAACCAGGTTTACAGATAGGCAGGGGCTCACTGTGGACTTTCTTCCCATATCCTTTTCCTTACTGAGTCATCCAGAGAAGTCATGAGCATGGGAAGAGGGAGTTTCCATAGAATCTACAGATGGAGAGGCCAGGGACCAACCCCCGCCCCCCATCACCCGTCCCGGGATCCCATCACTGCAAATAACCTTCCACTTGCCATCTTCACTTAAGCCGTCCAACAGGAAATGTGCGAGCATCATGGTACAAATCAGAGCACCAGCAAACGCTGAAATGTTCCTTGCTCGCAGGCAGAGCTCCACATCCCACGCGGCTCTGTCTAAACAAACATGTACGTATGTCTATTTCCTAAAAACCCCATGTTGAGGCAGGCCAGCTCAGCTCCACAGTCTAACGATGCTAGCAGCAGCTTGCCCTGGGTCTGCATTTCTAAGCTCTGCGGCGGCTGGGACAAGGGGGAAGAGTGAAGGGGTGGTCCATTTGGCGGTGGCGATGCCGGCTTAAGTTATCCCACAGACATCTGCAGGCCATTAGGCCATAAAGCCAGGAAGATAAGTCTGCTCAGTGCTAATAACCCTAAATGAAAACCAGGAGCCTTGGAAAACCTCCGCCTGCCCAGGTTTATAGGCAGTGTCCTTATGGCAAAAGAAAGATCACAGGGGCCGCCCTGACGTGCCCTGGGGGCTCTCAAATTGAGAAAGGCGCACAAGGATCTTAAAATCAACACTTTTCCTGACAAGCCCAAGAAAGAAGAATGAGTTAAAGAGTAATGTGGACGAACTTCAGCCCTGATCTCACAATTTATCCGGCAGAAATAAATACCAGTCTGGGCCAAAGAAAAGCAACTCCTTTGCCCAGAGCTGTTTCTGATTTCTTCCTCGGGTTCACCCGCACAATGCCCGCTCTGTCCAGACCGCAGCCCTGAAGAATACGTTGTTGAAGGGTTTTTCTTTTTTCCTTTTAAATCACTGACCTTATCATATACATATTAGTAGCTTGGAAAAGTATAAACGTACTTGTTTCTCCCTTTCTTTCTTTTTTTTTTTTCTCCTTAAGTGCTCCAAACCACTTCTCTTTGTCAAGGCTAACGAGCCTCCCTGCGTGCTGACAGAGGCAGGACGAGTCTAGCTGCCGATCCCTGCTTCCTACTGAAGACACTCCATGCTAACCACAAAATTTGTCCTTCGGTTCCCTGCAGGGATTCCACCCAGCAACAAAACAAAACACTGGAAGGCTGCAGGAGGAGGGGAAGCAGGGGTCTTTGACAGGTTGCCTCTCTGTGTGATTCGCTTCCAGGGTCTGGGAACAAGCTTCCAGGAGGAAGTGTGGACAGTGACCCCGGCGGCTGCTGGAGGACTGGGCTCCCTGGATGACTTCCCACTTGTCATGTCGTGAAGAGGGTCCCTAACTCAGACCACAGATGCCCCCCTGACACGGATGTGGCCCCCAACCTGTGCCCAAAGCCCTCTTCCTCCTGCCATATCGGCTGAGTCACCTAAGAGCTCCCTGTCCCCGTTATTCATTTCTAATGAGAAGAGGATGGTCTGAGTAGACCAGGCCCCTTGGAGTATGTGTGCTTCGGAGCAGGATAAGTTTCCACATTTCTATGTTTCTCAGGTGAGCTTCCCTGAGTGTTCCCTCCTCCAGTGTGGGGACAGTAACAGACAGTAAGTAAACTTGGCTGGGAGTCAAGTTTCAGGATAGCCATACTGCCACTTACTAGCCAGAGACCTTGGGCAAGCGAAGTCACCTGGGCTGGAGGCACCTCAGGAAGACAGGTGGACAGTAAAGGCACCATCTCATAGGACTAGGACAAGGACTAAAGAAGAGAGCGGACTGGTGCCCCCTCTCTACCCTCTGACTCACGTGGGAATCACTGAGCTGGGCTGGCCCCAGCAGAGAGGGTGCAGGAAGCTGGCGACAAACCAACCCTCACCCTCTAATCAGCTCATTTTTATCTGCTGCAAGAAGAACAATTATGAATGCACGGACTGAAGTCCTGTTTATGGACTGGCTCTTAAAACCCACTTGTAAAGTCTCTTTCTTACCTAGAGACTTCAACACATGAACAGGTTTGGACACTTTCCTAATACTTTGCTTTATAGAACACTTTCGGAACCTTTTGCAAGAACGCGACTCAGTTGGAAGTTTGGTTTCCTTAGAGACAATCGAGACAGGAGGCCAGCTGCTTTGTGATGAGAAGTACAAGCATGAGTAGGAAGTGGTAAGCACATAAGAAGCACTCGGCAGATCGATATTTGCTAACTCGAAGTTTCTCCACTTGTGCTCAGTCCCTTTCTCCCACTGACCCACTCACTGGGAGAGTGACACAGGCCTGTGCCACTCCAGACAGAAACATCCCCAAATATCCTGACGATGCTTCTGTCAAGAGAGTGACTTCCTTTTTTCCCAGGGGCTGGGCCTGATACCATCAGCAAGATTGAACACCATGCTGATATGGCAAAAACAGAACCCACCACTTCCACGTTTCCAAGTCTGGGGCTCAAGGCCAGAGTTTTGACAGCTCCTCACAGCAATACCACTTATACCAATCAGCCCTATGACAGCTTTTAAACCCCTCCTCCGTGGACCGTTGTCTAAGTGACATTTTACAACGTATTCCTTTGGCTAGCACTGATGATTGACAAAGGAGTAACTAAAAGAAAAACTCTTCTTCTTCAAGAAATAACTCCTAATGTGGGTCAGGGTGTGGATATCGTCTTTCACGGGCAGAAGGCCTCCCTGACGGAGAGCACACTCAGGAGTTTCTGAACATTAAGTTTTTGTACTTAATAAGCAATACCAATCGTCTCTGTCTTTCACTGGAGGGCGGGAAAGTTGACAGGAGAAACCATGTTGTGTTCTCCTCTGTACCCCAGGGTGTGGTATAGACTAAAGTTTCCCTACATATTTGTCAGATGAATATATGGACAGTTACCACATCATTCTCACAGCAATTACCATTGAGTACTGAGGGACGATCCCACCAACATCACCATGATAGATATAGACGGCCCCGGAGAAGTCGTCCTCCTTGGGTGCGCCAATGGCCACATCTGAGGGAAGAAAAACAGCTGTGGGTTAGAAAGCCATATGGAGTAATATAAGGAGTTTTCCTAATTCCTGCCATCATTTGGGTCCCTCCATATCAGAAATTTCTTGGTTGTAGGTTGTCCAGGCATTAAGCTAGACATACCATCTCTTAGCAGGGAAGAAAAGCAAGGGGGGGTAGAAAGGAAATTATTGAAGCTTAGAAGGGTTTAGTTTCAAAAAAGTTCCTACCTCATCCTCACAGAAAAAAACCATTGACCCATCCAATAAGAGAAATGCAAATATAAACCACCCACCCAAATTTCTGTCAGGGGAATTCCATAAACTATGGTTATTGCATAACTGAGAAAGTCAATTCATTCCCAGAGAAGGGACTTATATAAAATGGCATTCACTTCCCAAAAAAATATGGTTACCCTCACAAACTGACAGCCCCTGGAACAAAGCCGAGATCTTCCTTTCTTTTCTTTGCTTCTAACAAAAGTCATGTGTTTGCAGAAGTGAGGTCAAGGGTGCGGGACCCATGCTCACACGACCTCAAGCCAGGATCCTCTCTAGTCAGGGTTGTGAGGGTATCAAAGGAGCCTGAATGTCTGGTCTGAGGCAAGAGCTGCCCCCCAGCCTGTCCCCCACCTCAGCTGTCCCCCTAGTGACGTGGGTCCCACAGGTCCTAATGTCTATGTACCGTGCATACAATAAGCAGAGACAACACTGAACAGACCAGAAAGAGAGGCCAAGATACTGTGAAGGAATCTGCAGTCCAGACAGATCTTGACATCAGGTACACATAGCCCCACCCTCTTGGCAGGGACACATTCAAGTCCATCCCCTTGCTGTCACTCTTGGGGCTGAGAATGTCTAAGTCCCTCCACACTCATGTACTAATAACGCAGTAGACCCTTAGAGTCTGAGACACAGGGACTGGTGGCGGGAGGAAGCCAGGCCAACATGTCTGCAGCAAGAAGCCCCCGTGGCCCAGCCCTAGGACCCCTCGCACGGCCAACACACAGCCAAGAACTTGAGGCTGCTGAGAAGGTACCACATGGAAGCAGAAGTGCAGCGGGCTCAGAGCCCAGCCCTGAGTGTCTGCATGGAGAACATCTTCTCGAAGGGCACCCCTCCCTGCAGGGGACTTCCAAGGGGGCAGGCAGATCCAGTAGCACCTCGTGCCAGGGCGAAGGCAGAGTGCAGGTACCAGCTCACTGACCTGGGAACCCGTCATCATCAAGGTCACCTAGGCTGGCAATGCTCTCCCCAAAGTGTGCGTTGTAGGCGCCATCGCCACTCAGGGCCAGCTGCTCCTCCAGGGCTCCCTGGCAAACAGGACGGAGGAAAAAATGGAAAACAAAACAAAACCAGAACCAAAAAAACCCCCAATACAACCAAAGCTCCAAACACCACTGGAGCACACCCATCGACAGGAAACACCTGGGCAGCATCACGGGCACCCAAGCTTCTCTCTCCTGGTGGCAAAATGAGTCCCTTTCACCTGTGCAGCAGGAGGGTCTCCCACAGCCTGAGATGCCTTTTAGAGGGAAGAGGATTCTCATGTTGGCCAAGGACTCCATCTCCCCTTTGTCCTGACGCTCCACAAACCTCCCTACCCACAAACCTGTTGCCACAAAATCCTCTCAGCTGCTCTTACCCTTTGTTCCAAAAGTTGTTTTACATGGGCATGCATACTTCTATTTTCTTCTCTCCTATCCCTTGTAGTACAAGTTTACAAAGCTGCTTTGCAAGGTGCATGTGATCAGTAATAGTGACAGAATCATCATTCAGAAAACCCAACACCCAGTAGAGTTCTCGGCGAGGAAAGGGGTGGGGACGCATACAACTGTGCCCATTATCGTGTGGCTCAGATTTGGATTTTTTTTTTTTAAGATTTTATTTATTTGACAGAGAGAGATCACAAGTAGGCACAGAGGCAGGCAGAGAGAGAGAGAGTGAAGCAGGCTTCCTGCCGAGCAGAGAGCCCAATGCAGGGCTCGATCCCAGGACCCTGGGATCATGACCTGAGCTAAAGGCAGAGGCTTTAACCTACTGAGCCACCCAGGTGCCCCCAGATTTGGATTTCTTGAGCAAACACCACCCAAGAGAGGGAGGGGGGGTCAATGGTGTATGGTGGCAGTAAAAGCCATCTAAGGATATCCACTGTACCCCAAATCACTAACATGTTGGTATCAGAGTATTAAAATACAATCTGAGATTCTGAGGCAGAAGAAAGTCGAAGCCTGACCCAGTGTAGAGGTACTCTGAACCCACTACACACCCACAAGCCACCCCAGGGAGTGTCTGGCTTTAGATGGGACCTTAGGATTCTACCCACTTTACAGATGAGGAAACTGAGCCACTAATTTTAGGCTATTTGTCCACATGGCACAGACTAATAAGTGGAAAAAGCAAGGTCCAAGTCCATCTATCCAAAGTCATCATTTTCCCAATCCTCTGCACTGCTTCATGATCATTCATCAGACAGGGGGAGGCCCAACAGATACCATGCCCTGGTACTAAGGGTAGCCACATGACATGAAGCTACATTGGTTGGGGGTTGGCCGGTATGGGCACCATGTGTCTGGGGGAGTTTTCCAGCTCCAAGATTCCACACCATGATTCAAACACACTGACAAGCTATTACGCTGGTCTCCTTACTGCCTGACAAGTTCATACCTACACGAGTACTTCATTCTCCTACAAACAGAGTAGCCGGCAGCCACCAAATGTTGCTGTTCTCATCTCCATAATGACCACCTCTTTTCTCCCCACACCTGCCTGTCCCTTTTCCTGGAATGTCAATGGGGGTGTGTCAAGTGTTACTCAACAGGTCCCAGGAAGTACATTTGTTCCCAGGTTTTAGATCCATTTTCTCAAAGTGTTTTTAAGCATCTAAGAAAGCCCAAGGCTCTAACGTTCCCTGGGTCCTCTTCAGATGGCTTCCTTTCTTCGTGACAGCTGTCCACCTAGAGTCAAACACTGCTGCCCCTCCAACTGGATGAGTCATCCAACTAGGATAACTAGCATCTTCTTCACTGCTTAAAAGGATTTTTTTTTTTCTATGAAAGTATTACATTCTTGCTCTTTGGATAAAGATAAAACTAAAAACTTACCCAAGCCTTACCACCCACAAGGATCTATTATGAACATTCTCTATGTGTTTTGTATATTTTTTAGAAGTTGTTTGTATAGGAAGATTTTATCCCACTTTTCACTGATTACTTTACAAGCATTTTCTCATGTTTGGTAACAAAATTGATGAATTTAACTCTCTTCTTGGACACTCTTAATTCTAGATGCCGAAAAGATTCTGCTTTCTCATTGGTCTCCCGCCTCCACTGGGGCATTGCTTCCTCTCCCCTCCCTGTCCCCATCCCCTAGCCCCCAACTCAGCTGCAGAGGGCCAGAGGCATCTTTCTAATGTCATCGCACCCCTTTCATGGTTCTGCAGGCTAAGGAACATCATGATCACAGCCCTTAGCCACTGCACCGGCCCAACCCCAGAACTTAAGTGGTCCTGCTGCCCCAGCCCTCAACCTGTTTGCCCAGCTCCCAGCTCAGCTCTTTCCATTTGCCTAGCTCCTACTCCTTCAAGATTCTGCCCAGCCACTGCACCCTCCAGGAGCCCCTGGCTCATGTGTACATACTTCCGGGTAAGCAGCACGACTCCCAGAGAGCCAGCTGGCCTGGGTTCAAATTCTAGCCCACTGCTTCTAGCTGTGTGCCACAGGCCTCATTTTTAATCTGAAAAATGGGGGCCCCTGATACTATGTGCACATTATGTGGAAATCATTTCTAGAAAGCAGGAGGAAGAGTTTCAGGTACAGAATAAACACTCAAAATCAAACAACTGATGTTGTGATTTTTCTCAATCCCTGTATGTCTGCAGTGGTAACACTGTGTCCGGCTTTCCATTAATGGCATGTTGAGCTTTCTGAAGGTAGGAAGCACATCTTTTCACTTCCTCCAGGTAATGGGGCCCAAGGCATGGCCCAGAGCGGGGCTGCTCCATCACTCCTCACTGGACAGATGTCCCTCTCCCACACCCATCCACCTGGTGCCCAGCAGTGTACTCACATTTCCTCTGTTGATGTAGACGGTGACCTGCCCCTCGTCCCTGATCTCAGAGAACATGGGGGCCCCCACCAGCAGGTCAGAGAGGCCATCTGCATTCAGGTCAACTGCGCATAAGGAGGAGCCGAAGTAAGAGCCCATCTGCAACCAAGTCGAGTTGCAACAAAGCGTTCAGTGCGTGCCCTCACACAGGAGGCCCTCGCTTGCCTCTAGCCCACAGCTTAACACGCTCTTGCCCCCAAGCCCCTCAGCACTGCGATGGCTATGCTGTCCCACGAGCCAGAAGTGAAATCCCTGACTCCCAGCAGCGGCGCTGGACCCCAGTCCTCCTGAGACCGAAACTCACTGGCTCAGAGGCTCCTGCCTTGGAGCCCTCCCGGGGGAAAACAAGTGGACCGATCCAGGAGAATAAGATATGGTTTTTAAAGATGCAAGCTGAGGTTACAAAACAGGTTACAAGCATAGTAAATGTACCTCCTATAACAGATATTTGACAGGGCTAACCAAGGAGGAACATGAAATTTCATTAACACAAGGCAAGCTTGAAAAGGGTTGGGGGATGGAGTGACTCAGTGATGGGTACTAAGGAGGGCGTGTATTGCACGAAGCTCTGGGTGTTATATGCAAACAATGAATCATGGAACACTGCCTCAAAAACTAATGATGTACTGTATGGGGACTAATAAAAAATAATTGAAAAAATAAATAAAACAATGATATCCCTTTCGGTAAGTTAAGAAAAAAAGAAAAAGAAAGAAAGAAAAGAAAAAAGAAATGCTACATGGGGAAATAAATTACCCTTTCCCAGGCCTGCACAGAGCTAAAGCCAACCAGGAAGGCATGAACTCAAGTGACAGGGAAGGGTACGACCCCCAAGACTATGTAATGGATGCGGGAACACGGCCAGGTTCCACTGGCTCTTCTTGAATCAGAGCTTAATCCAGTGCCTATTATCGTAAGTCAGGGGTCTCAAACTCAAACGCCAATGGGATCCAGGCAGGTGACAGAACAGGTATAAGAAAAAACAAGTAACACTGCAAGTATGCTCCGGGTGGCAAGAGATGCTTGGCTTCAGGGTCTAACAGGCAATAGGGCGTGGTAGGGACTGTGGCCACCTGGGGCCCACAGAGTCAGCTCCTGAAGTCAACTGCTACTGTGGGGAGGCCGACCCAGAGAAGACCAACCTTCCTGTTTTTCAAGAGAAGCCCAAAATCCAAAATTTTATTTGAGGGGTCTCGTTCTAAAATGCGGACAACTCGTTCATAAAAAAAAAAGAAGAAACAAACATAGCAGGCAGGCCAAACAAAAAGTTTCACAGGCTGCATCCTTTCCAAAGGCTGCCAGTTTGCAACCTCTGTTGGAAAGAAAAAAAAAAAAAAAAAAAGCCATTCTTTTTAAAATAAATGTTTTCAGATAAAAGGGCTCTGGTTCTGCTGATGGGAACAAGCATTTTCTTTCGGAGCTGGTGTTTGTTGGCTGCCGCCCTGGGGAGTGTGAGAGAGGTGGAGGGCACTCTGGTCCATTTCCTGCAGTGAACCCAGGGACAGGAGCCCCTCCCCAGTCACACATCACTTGTGCTCAGTGCACCCCGCCCTGCCAACACCCACTCCCAAAGGAGAAGGGTGTGGGCAACGCTGGGATTCCCAGCAGAGACCATGCCACCAGTCACTAATTCAGCGGCCTTGTCAATATATCCAGACTTCAGTAAAACAAAGAAGCTGGTAAGACCCTCACAGAGCCCAGAGGACTCTCTGGCTCTGCCTCAGGGGAACTATTTGTTTCATTCCAATGGGCTATTTAACTTGGCATCTTCATCGGTGTTCAATCAGAAATCCCTGAACGTGAAGTTTCTTATCTAAGTTTTGACATGCAAACCTTTCAGATACCTCCGTTAACACAATAAAACTCCTGTATGTGGCAAGGACATGCTGTGTGTGTGTGTGTGTTGGCAGGAGAGGGGGTTCTTTGATCGAAGTTCTCTCACCTGGAAATGCAGATTCATGTGTCTATATTAACATCTGGATTGGGCACATACTGATAACTTCTCGGATGTACGATATGAAGGATGTCAACCGCTAAAAACTGGAACTTTAGGGTTTTGTTGTTTTATTTTTCATATGGCAAGGCCAGGAGACAGTACTATCTGACCAAACTCAGGCCAAACAAAAGCAGAAGTGGACCAGTGGTCAACGGAGTCAGAACCCACCCCACCATGTGTGTGGGTCCAGACACAGGGGTAAAGCTACAGACATCCTTTGAAAGCCTTGGGTCATGTCCTTTCCCTTTGAATAATGGAGAAGTCAGAGATACTAGAATTTTTCATTTCTTCTTGAAAAAAGCAGAATAAGATGTATATAGAAAGTAATGGTCTTTTTCAAATTCAGAGCACTGATGATGGGGGTAAAGCCAGAAGCCAGAGACACAGGAGGGCAAGAGTGAGTGGCACAAGGAAGGATTGACTCTAGGATGGTACAAAGTGAGGACAAGTGGCCACGGAGCTGGTGGTTGAGACACCTGGCCCTCCCGTCCCTTCCCAGGGAGCCCCAACACCTCACGAGGCCATTCAAGCAGACACACAAGACAGTCTGTCCTGGGACTCCCTGACATGAGGTCCTCACAGTGTGCACAAGTGGCTTCTCAAATGTTTACCTCCCCCACTGCCCACTCTTCAGTCTGTCACCCCAAACCTGACTGCGACCAGTCATAGGTGGGTGGCCGTGTAAGCTGTCACCCACACTGGGAGGTTTTTGAGAAGGAGAGGGCACAATTATAGGCTGATAATTGCACCGGGATGACCAGCATTAACTGGGCCTGCCCCGGGCGCGGGCAGCAGGGGGTGGGGAGAACAGAGGCTGCAGGTGGAAATGAAGGTGAAGACACTCTGAAGACTGAGTGATAGGTGTGCTCCTGCTCGGCACGCCACTTTAGAGTCCTTAAAACACAGTTACGTGATGTGATGGAGGTCGTAACTAACCTCCCCGTGATTCCACCATATATCCACGGGTCAAGTCGTCACGTTGAACACCTTAAGGTCACTGAATTCTATGTCAATTACATCTCAGAAAAGCTGAGTGGGGGGAGATTCCTTTCATTTTATGCTGTCAAGCCCAGGTACGCTTGAAGGGGTGGGGGTCTGGGTTTCCCATCATAGACATCCCTTTATTTATTTATTTATTTTAAGAAAGACCTAAATGTTAGGCTCGGAGGCATTTCCACCCTCCTTGCTCTGGGCCTCTATCACAAACGGCACCGAGTCCTTTCTCGTCTGTCAGGGGTGCTTAGAAAACTTTTACTGCAGAACTGCTCACAGTCTTTTCCAGTGTGGTTGCTTTGGGGGTTTTGGAAATGTTAAAATAACACAGGCCAGTGTGGATCCCAGGGGAATGCAGGGGAATGCAGAGCTGTTCTCAGGGAAACTTCACAAATCTGATTTGGTGATGCATTTATTTTTTTTTGGTGATGCATTTTTTTAATTGAAAAGATTATGACAATTCTCTAGTAAGTACACACATTAAGGCTGTTAAAACTGAAAAAAAAAAAATTCTACTTGTGAGTGGGATTTGGGGAAATGAGAATATTTACCATCAGAACAGTGTGTCATGGTGCCAGGCTTGTGCAGAGCAGGTCTAACCCACAGCAGGACCTGAACTGGGCTGGGGCACGGCACGTGGCCACAAGGCCCACAAAGGAAACAATCGTCTCTCCCCCTTTTCCTAGGGTGGTGGTGGGTAAAACCATCTTCCACCTTCTCCTGTCTCCTGGAATCTCCCTCCCAAGTCCCAGAGTCCTGTGCTTCTTCCCAGAGCTCAGTAAGGCCTCCACACGAAGGCAAGACTCCCAATCACGCACTGGCCTCCCCGCCTAAAGGTGTGTCCTCTGAGAGCAGCCAATCTCCCTAAATGATCCTGCTGGTCTGAGTCACGCTAAGGTGGGCAGGACGGACAAGCCCATGAAAAAACGTGCCTTATTAATCCAGGGACTCTCGACCTGCCTTCATCTCAGACTGTGGGTGCAGCATTCATGGAAACGTGCAGGAAATCAAGAGAGGATCAGGGCCAGGACGAAGACAAGGGAACACACCCAGACAAACCTTGCCCAGGACGAATTCCAAGGCAGCCTTCCCAAGCTATTTATATTTCAAGGTTCTCAAGGGAGCCAAGTGACTTGTGTTTGGTTTACTTTGTGTGACAACAGGCCCTGTGGCAATGGTGGTGGGGGGCTCAGGATGAGAGGAGGGGGGCACCACTGGGCCTGAGACGCCGGAAGAGTGAGAGCCGTTTGCCTACACACCTACTCAGTTAGATTTCATGGGTTTGCCACCCTACTTAACTGCGTGTGATCTCTCTGGGCTGTATGTATAAGAGAGAGGCAGATGGAAGGTCAGAGAGGTAGGAAAAGGCAGACATACAGCAAGTCGTAATTCTGACGACTATCTGAACTATGGAAATCCTTTTTGAACTGTGATGAAACTTGGTCGTGCCCAAGCTCATCTTGCTGCCTGAGTCCTATGACGAGCCTGAATTCCACAATCCGCAGGATCCACAGTGCTGAGGGGGTTAAGCCAACTGCTTGTGGGGCTGCCATACAAACCTAGGGCATGGATAGGGCCTCTACATCCATTTTCTAAAAAGTGAACTGATTCCCTCAGGATGACATCTGGCAAGCAAAAAGAACACCAGTACCCAGAATCTCACCTTTTTACCTGATGCCTGGAATATCTTAATTAAGGTACCCGATCTTCGATCAGCTCTAAAAATATAAACCTATGGAATAAAAAAAAAAATCTAGTTAAGATAGAAGCCATGACCAAAGATATTGAACAGCATCCTCCTGAGACTCCTACTTAAATTAAGGCCAACCAGGCATATGGCAGGTGCTTGTGAGCTGGCTGATAAAGTTCCCCGCACTTCACCAACTCTGCAAAAAAGAGTGTCCTTCCATCCGGAGGCACCATGCCTCTCTACCCCAAAGAGGACCCTTGATGCAGAGCCTGCCAAATGACAGGACTACAGAAGTTCTTTTCCAAGCTGCGTCTTACAGGAACAGCATCCCATGATGTAGGGGAACCAGGGCAGGGGACCATCCTGCGGGGTAAGAAGCCACCACCTTAGTGAGAATGTGTTTGGGCCCTGACACCAGAAATGAACAATCCTGCAGGCCAGAGGTCTAGTCTAGGGCCCCCGGGAATTGGACGGTCACCAACTCCATCAACTACGACCCGTCTTCCCAGCACCTCTCCCATGATCCGACTAAAAGAAGTGTTTTCAGGTTCTTCGCTGTTAGCTGAATCCAGGATTCTGTCTGGTTTTGCCAGTTATAAATACTGTTCTCAGCCTAAGACCTATCTTAAGACAATCACAAGCATCTGCAGGGAACATGATGCAGTCAGACCCAGTCTGTGTAGCTGGGAGAGAAGGAAGCACGGAGACCCCTGCATGGCCGTGAGCCAGAAGGCAGGCTCTGTTACCAACACTGCGGAGAAGCTGGGTCACACGCACACAGCATCTTTCCTGGATCACGTTATCAGCATGGGGACGGCTCTCAGTGCTTCTTCCCTCCACCATGTAGAGGAATTCACGTGACCCTGCAGGACCCACCTCTTTCCTGACTTTATCAGAGTTCATCGGCTGGCCTCCCCCAGCTCAGTGGCCTGTGTTTTTAACTGGTGTCATTCCCCAAGATCCTTTCTCACTAGCAACCATGTTAGCAGGGAGGGAGGCACAAGTTCCAGAAATGAGAGCTGAGGCTCCTAACTCCTGCCTGGGAGGATTCAGGGAAACGATCCTCAGGAATGTACCAGTCAGCTGACCAGACGGACATGTTGACTCAAGGCTCCAGTGAACAGTGGTCTTGTCCCATCTGGGCCTCTCTAAAATCCAGACCCTACTCTCTGAGCCCCTGGAGATATGGCCATACACTATACACTATGCTAAGTCCACTCCTTGGGCTCGGGTCTAAAGATCACTCCCTAGTTCAGATTTTTCTATTAGAGACCGTATGGAGTTAAAAATGCAGGTTCCTGACTCACACAGACCTACCCAATCTAGATTTCCCATACCCTGCAGCTTAAGAATCAGAAAACATAGTTCTTCATACTCTCAGCCCCACAGAGGCCACAATTCCTAAAGGGACCAGACAGATAGCCCTAGATCCATGGGGTATTTCCTACAGCCTGGGCAGATCCTTTAGGAAAACTGACCCACATATCCCCTGTTCAGTCTTTGGACAGAACCAGTCTTGGCTCTAAAACACTGGGGAAGTAAATATGACACTCTAGGTCCCAAGATAGATAAATAAAGTCCCAAAAATACATGAGACGAGACTTAGCTCTATTAAGTCAAAGTCAAAATTGGGAAGGGCTTGGCAGAGTGGAGAACTTAAAGTTGGACAATGCTGGACACCATTTCTTCAGAGGTCGCCATGATGCCAAGGGTCAGTCTTAATAAGCTCGCACACAGAGTCAGCTGTTGAACACAGCTGAGATGACAACGTGCAGAGATTGGAGAGGTCTAGGAGTAGCATTCACTCTCTGATTAAGTTTTCAAGGTTCTCTCAAAAGCTGTTGGAAGGAGGTTGATGGGAGACTCCTCATTACTTCGTCATTTACCTGCCAGCCACCCAGGAGAATGTTCAGATCAATCAGTGGCAAGCCTCTACACCAGGGGCAGCACACTCGCCCGGTGTCTGACCCCATGCTTTCCACAGATTTCTCTCCTCACCTTCCCGATGCCTTCGTCCTGGGGGGCACCTCCTACGATATCAGTGGTGGACGGGCGAGAGAAGGAGCCGGCCGTCACTGCATAGCCTGTGAGGGATGGGCATTAATGGAGGAGAGGATGAGCCAGGGCAAGAAAGAAAAAGATTGATCTGAGGAAAAGGCTTCTCAAGCATCCCTTGCCTGGACAATTACGACCCAGCTATTCTTGGAACGTAACCTCCAAGGGAACAAATTGCATCTGTTAGTCTTCTCCTGCTGAACCAGCTCATCTCACAAAAAGTCAGGGTCACAAAAACACCAGGGCAGGAAAGAGTGCTTTCTGAGGTAGTTTAATACAGGTACTGTGCTAAATACTTCACATTTTTCTTTTTGAGATATAATTTTCATATGGTCACATGCATATATCTGAAGGGTAGAACCCGTGGAGGTGCCCACAGGCACACAGCCATGCGATCACCGCCCAGAGTGAATATAAGTACAGAACCCAAACGAGAAGGCTCCCTCCTGCCTGTTCAAGTCAATGCTCTCCTACGGGAAGCCACTATTCTGTTTCTATCACTATATGTTTCGTTGACCTGTTCTAGAACTTCACTCAACGTAGCACCTGCGACATTCATCCATGTGGAGTATAAGAGCGTCCATTTCCTTTTATTGTGGAGCAACGGTCTACTGTATAAAGAGATCAGAACATCTTTATTCTACTGCTAGGCATCTGGGTTGTTCCCAGATATTCCTACTTTCCTATGAATAAAGCAGTTGGGAACATTCCTGTGCATGTCTTTGGATGCCAGCAAATTTCAAGTGCACAATTCTATAAGGAAGGTATGATTATTTCTTCCATTTCACAGATGTAGGAACTGAGACTAAGGATGGTTAAGTAACATCCTCCAGATAACCCATCAAAGTTCAGATCTAATCTGTGCATCTCCATAGCCTCTGCTGTTAACCACTGTGCCATCTTCTCTCCTAAGAGAAGGCAGAATGAAACTGACAGTAGGGGGATGGGTATGGATGAGAAAAGAATCTGGATGTAAAAGGAATCTAGAAACAAAGGTAAAAGTTGTCTGAGCTTAGTCCAAATGTCTCCTGCTTCTTGAGAGCCTCATGGGCTGGCTGAAAGTTCTTCCTTGGCCAGCAGAGACTTTATGGATGGCCATATGTTCCCCCAAAACTTGTCTTCACCTTCAAACCCTGGTGCTGTGATCACAAGCTGTCTGGATTTGGTGATGACACCATATTGTGATCAATTCTTATTGACCCTGTGGCCTGACCCATTACCAAAGCGCATTATGAGTGATATCAAAGCCTTAGGTGACCTTGAAAGCCCTGTAGCAATAAGGGTCTCTGGTATACACAGGGAGAAGCCACCGGCCCCTCAAGTTCAAAGATCTATCCTGGACCCCAACGCCACACCCAGCAACACTCTTTGAGACTCTGGGCTCAGAAACCACAAGTTTAAGCCCCCACTTTGCTATATACAAGCCACATAACCTTGGCAAGTTATGTACTTCATGGGTAATGATAGTTGCCTCATAAGGTTGTTTCAGGAATGAAAAGTAGCAGCATCCAGAATGATAGCACTTAAGACATGAACTAAGGAAGAGAGCCACACAAACTCTTCAGGACCACAAGCCAAGACAGCCTATCTCTGTCCCTCAATAGTGCAATATAAAGCTTGCCTGGTGGCTGTTAAGTTCTATCTATTTTCTTTCTAGAAGGCTGAAAGAATTGAGAAAATAAGAGAAATATCTCTGAGCCTGTGACTAACCTTCAGCATTATGCTGCCATCTGTCATGTTAATTTCTTTCTTATTATTTTTTTTTTCTTTCAAAGATTTTGTTTATTTGATAGCAAGAGACAGCATAAGCTGGGGGAATGGGGGAGGGAGGGAGAAGCAGGCCCCCACAGAGCAGGGAGCCCAATGCGGGGCTCGACCCCAAGACCCTGAGCCCAATCATGACCTGAGCCCAAAGCAGACACCCAACTGACTGGGCCACCCAGGCTTTCCTGGTTCTTACTATTTCTATTTGCAACTGGTGTGACTAGGAGAGGCCACAGCCAAAGAAATACCATGGAAAACAAGGATTCTACTGCACTCATTTTGTATCTGAACTTAAGTAATTGCTCAAGAAAAAATTTTGCTTCCTTGGACATTCAACTGTCAGCTCTGTAATTAAATCAGTTTTAATTCAGACCCCCTACTTTGTTCTCTACCCGCTGGGTGTGAGGCTCAATGTAAGGTGCCCCGGCTAAGAGTGTACCTAACTAGAACAATGGATGTGAAAGCCAACAACTCTACTTTCCACCAGTAAATGAACCGTGTGTGAGCCAGGTGAGAATCGCTCCCGTGTCCCCTTCTTACCTGTCCCATCCCTGAGCTACTCACCCAGGTAAGTGTACCGCCTGTTCATGATGGCTTCATCATTCAGTTTGAAATAGGTGTTGTCCGTAAGGTTCAGCACTTTGACTGTCCCGGCCCAATAAAATGACCCTGGGGCGCCCATCACCACCAGCTCCTACCGAAGAGAAACCCAAAAGTAAATAAACAGGGAAGGAAGCTGAAGAGGGGAGCAGGTGGTATAATGAGAACCACGGCCACAGCCAACAACTCAAAGATGCCTCACACCAAGGACTTTTTTTGGCTGGGTAATGAAAACTCCATCGCCAGATTCCCTGGTGTTATGGAATCCATCATACACATGGGGTCATCAGGAGTAAGGACAAGCATAACTGAGCAAGAATGAGGAACATACCAGGTCCCTACGCTACCCGTGGATAAGCTCACGCATACTTCCTCATCTCCACAACAGGATCAAATAAGGAAATGACAAATATTGCGCATTGTCCTGAATCGCAGAATTCCAGGAAACAGTGCTCACGAAAAGATGCCACCGCCTCACCCAGCCTGGACCCCAAACCCACCTGCCCCATACAGAGCATAGAGAAAACAATAACCAGAAGCATCTTTGCAAAAAACCGTGCACTGACACTCCAAGGAAATCCCTCCCCCCAGGGCCCTCACTCAGGATGCTCTTCTCAGGAATGACTGTACAGCTTGCTTTTGTGGCCACTGTGGCCCACTGCAAACCCACAACAAAATCAAGAGAGCAGAGAGGCACACCAAGGGAAGGAAAGAGACCCAGGACAGCAAAAGACAGCACTGCTATTAAAAACAGACCCAGAGGGGCACCTGGATGGCCCAGTAAGCTAAGCATCCAACTCTTGGTTTTGGCTCAGGTCATGATCTCATGGGTCATGGGATCTAGCCCCACAGGTTCTATCCCTCCACCCCTCTCCCCACTCATGTGTGCGTGCTCTCCCTCTCCCTAAAATAAATACATTAGTCTTTAGAAAAACAAACAAAACAACAACAACAACAACAACAAAAACAACCAGAAACACAAAGACACAGTGATCTCCAGCATTTGCATTAGGGGGAAATGGCCCTGTACCTTCAATGGGGACAAGAGTTGGTTTGAGTTACAAAACCATCTAATGAGCAGTATTGATGAGAATTTCAAGTACTTCCAAATGAGACACCTGCCTAAGGAATTCAGCATGAATAACTACATGCCTTCACTCATAAGAATAGGCATTGTCACTGGGCTAAAGAAATTTGGAAATGATCTAGGGGCCTCTGGGGGCTCAGTCAGTTAAGCGTCTGCCTTCAGCTCAGAGTCCTAGGGTAGAGTCCCACATCAGGCTCCCTGCTCAGCCAGGAGTCTGCTTCTTCCTCTCCCTCAGCCCCTCCCCCCTGCTTATGCACTCTCTCTCTCTCTCTCACTCTCATGTTCTCTCTCAATTAAATATGTAAAACCTAAAAAAAAAAAAAAAAAAAAAGGAAGGAAGGAAAGAAAGTTGGAAATCATCTAAACATCTAACATCTGGCATCCAAAACCACAGTACGCCCATTCAACAGAATCCTGCAGCAGCAAAAATGCTGTAGATGTAACAGCCCTGAGACAGGGCCACGCAGCACTGAGTTAATGGGGACAGGCCAAAAATATGTATACTATGATCACGTTTTATAAAAGGAAAAACAACTGTGGACAGACAGACAAAACAGAGCCCAGAAGGAGAAGCCCCAAACACTTGTGTTTTTTTTCCACTGGGTGACAGGATTACAGGGATCTCTCCACTCCCCTCCCTTCTTCCGTCACTTTGTCGCTTTCTCTTTCTCTTCCTTTTTGTCTCTTTGTCTTTCTCCTCCTTTTTGTCTCTTTCTCTTTGTCTCGTTCTCTTTATCTCTCTCTCATCCCTAAAATTTATTTTGTATTTTTAAAAATTCTACTTTTGTTTTTTTAAATATTTTATTTATTTGAGAGACAGATTGCACAAGCATGGGGAACAACAGGGAGAGGAAAAAGAAGACTCCCCACTGAACAGGAAGCCTGATGCAGGGTTCTATCCCAGGACCCTGGGATCACGGCCTGAGCTGAAGGCAGATGCTTAATTGACTGAGCCATCCAGGTGCCCAAGTGTTTTTCAAAATTCCAGAACAGTGATTAAACACTGACAAGAAAGTCACTTCAGAAAACACACAGTACATTCAAAATGGAGCACACACTGTGTGGAAGCTGTTCTGAGGGGAGGCGCCCACTGCCTCCTTGCATCCACAGGATGGCCCTGGTTTCGGCTTTCATTCCTTCCTTCCCCAACAGGGAATCCCTTCTTTTGATTATCTGGGTTTCCCAAAGTACCTATACTGCAATAAGAAATGATAAAAATTATTTTCCTAACAAAATCATTAATTTTTCAGTCAATAATATTAAGCACCTACTATCATGTATGAAAGCTTATACTTGATACACAGACCAATAAAGTCCCTCTGTAGGACATTCCCAGGGGAAGGCAACATGGAAACATACAAAACAATTTTGAAAAAAGTTCTATACAAATAAAGACAATTTCAGGGGAAACCCCTCAGCCGCACAAAAACCCCAAAGGTGCAGGCCATGCAGACAGGAGACACTAGACCCTGCAATGTCACCGAGACCTCTCAGTGCCAAAGCACACCCACCCCTCCCTTGGCCCCTCGAGTCCCCACACACTGTTCTATTTCAGAAACATCCACCCAGGCTAGCCCTCTCTGCAGAGCTGGCCTCACCACTGTCAGAAGGGGCTGCTTTCCGACAAGTCCCTGAAGGCTAGATCTCGCTACGAGGCTCCTGAGTTTCTATTGACAATATATAAAGTCACCCTGAAGTCCACAGAGCAAATGTCTGAACAAGCCAGAAGCATCTGAAGAGAAAGCAAAGAAAGATCGCATGGGCAGGAGAGCAGGCATGCAACCGTGGTGGCAAGAGGACGAGGCTTTGAACAACTCGTGTGCTGCGGGCCATTTGGGAAAGAACCTTAAGCAGTAGGGTGTGAGCACAGACAGAAGACAAGCCACCAGATCCTGCCTGAATGGCATAGTGCTGGTGATTCAGGAAGGTGGAGACCAGGAAAGACTGTCGAGGAACACTGCATTCAGGTTCTGAGGTCCCAGCCACCCCCACGGGAGCTGTTGGTAAGTTGGCCTCTCTGAAGCAACCCACTGTTCTATAAAAACGTATCACTTCCTGCACTCAGAGCTCATCACTGAAAAAACACAGGTGGTGAGTGCATCCATTCGCTCCTGTCCCCTGTACTCTTCTGTTCTGTGTAAGGGGCTGGGCTAGTTCTAGAAGGAACATTAGACAAATGATTGGTTCATCAGAGGAGAGAGACTTTTTCCTTGGCCTTGAGCTCAGAAAGGAATTTGGAATCCGGTGTCCAAACGCTCAGGGCATGAGGGAACATAATGACCGTTGGCCTTGGTGCCAGGGGCACACACTCACGTGTAGAGCTTCTCCACCTGCAGCTCCTCCTAAACCAAAGCCCTGACCGTCACCAGGGACCTGTAAGGCTCTCTGGGACACCCGGCGGTAGGCACACTGTGTTCTGATCATTTAAATCAATCCAGCATACCAATCGAGAGTTGTATGTCTAATCCATCCCCGTACCCGCTCTCTCAAACATCACAGAGTTTGATAGGACAAGGTAATCTCTCTCCTCAAAAACCTTTAAACCAAAGCTCTGGTCTGTCTTCACTCTCGTCTTCGTGCTCATGCCTCCTTCTCCCTCAGTTCAAACTAGACAACCTGAGGCTGAGCCTGAGACCCACAGGGCTGGGGCAGGCAGGAAAATAGTGTTTTCCTGGAACTCCCGGTATCTGGGTTTCCCATTCACCAGGGATGATGCCTGTGCCCTTTCAGCACTGGTCACCAGTGCCAGGAAAATGGCATCAGTGCCTAGGTCCCCACCACCCAGGAACAGCCAACACAATGGTACACACCACCTAACTCCCATGTGGAATGCCTCCCATAAACAGTGCAGACCTTTTCCCCAGCTGCATTTATTAGCAGAACCTCCAGAGGCACAAGGGTGTGCTTCAGAAGCCTCGGACTTCTCTCACCGCTGCAAGCTGGCACAGGCGGGCAGGGGGCAGAGGCTCACTCGGGATCTACAACAGAAGTCTGCACCCAGACTTCTACCCAGGGTCTCCAGGCTCCCATGGCAGTGCCTCAATGCTGGCAGGTTGGCCCATGCCTTCTCTTGCTACTCACAAAGTATCTGTACCCAGGCTACAAAAATAAATAAAGTTCCCAGGAAGCTCTCCTTTATCCTCAGTGACGGGATGAAACTCACGTGGCATCTGTAGCTCAAACAGCTTTCGTAACCCCTGGGTCACAGACCTTCAGGCACCCCGGGCCAGAGTAATTGGAGGCCACAGAAACATACCCAGCTTGCCTATCCTGTGCAGGGACAGGCTGGCCCGCAGCGAGAGCCAGCCCAAGTAACAGGGTCAGCAAGAGGGCAGGGGAGGGGAGAAGTGCTGCATGACCCCTTCAACCAGATTTCCTGCTCAGCCTCCAACAGCTGAAGTTCCAGAAACAAGAGAGGCAGTGAGTTCAAAGACCTCCTGTTTAGGGAGGCCAAAGCCTAGGGCAGCCAGGACACAGTGGCCGGGTCAGAGGATTGAGCCTCCCTGACACTAACCTCACAACCCCCCATCCATGCACCACGGCCCCAGGGCTATTTGCCCAGCCAGCTCATGCTGAGGCTCCACAGTTCCCAGAGTGTCCTCCTGTCCACAGTTCAATAGGTCCTCCTGTTCTTCTGGTCATCTGGAGCTTACACAGCCCCTGGGCTCCCCTCCACCCATGCCCTTTCTGCTCCTCCCACCAAGCCCTCCTTCCACCCAGCCCCAGTGCCCTGTCTTCCCTGACCTTCCAGCTGCTGAGACCATAACGACATCCCCTCCCTGGAAACTCCTTCTCTCCCTCAGTTCTCCATCAACATCTCTGATGTGTTCTCATTTCTGCAATGAGTCTCCTTTTTTCTCTTCCCACTGTCAAAAGGAGGTGTCCTTCCCACCCCCACCCCCACCTCCATGCTGACCACAGCCAGTCCCCTCTGAGAGGTACTAGAAATGACCAAATCAGAGTTTCCAACTCAGGTTGGCTTCTGTTCCCTGTATCCAAGTATCTTCTAAAAACACCTACAAGCGTCCCATCCATCCCCTCACACTGCATGTGCTGAAAGCCCATTCATTTATCTCTCCCAGTGATTCTTCTCTAGATAGCCTTCTTTCCCCTGGGGCACCCCTGTTCTCCAGAACCCTGCCTCAAAACCTACTTCCTCCATTCCACAGTCCTCAGCCACCCAGCCCACTGATACTGCCTTTATATCTCCCATCCCTCTGGTCGTTTTTTCTTCCTGCCCTGTTGTTTTGTAGCTGGACCACATCACAGCCTCCCACCTGGTCTCCGTCTGGGCCCTCCCACTTTTAAAGCCCCAGGGACCACAGCCCACATGGCCTCTTTCTCCCAGCACTGCCATCCATGGTGTCCGTCACCTGCTTGTGGACTTTCAGGGGTGCTCTGCTGCCTCCCAGAGTCAGACTCTGCTAAACCTTCCAGAGAAATGACAGCCTCAGAGACTGTACAATCTCACCGAGCACAGAGATGGAAGGAGAGTGTGAGCCTGGCATACCACAGAAGGTATTTCAAGTCAATGGGAAGGAGGAGACCTGGTGAGCAGGCCAACAGGAGAACAATCAACTACACATTTAGGGAAACAATGAGGTTTGTTTCTACCATACAATGTTTGCAAAATGAAATCCAAGCTGTATTGAGGAGAGAAATCTTAAAAAAAAAACAAAACAAAACTGTAAAAGTACTAGAAAAGATTACAGGTGCATATTTTGTATTCTTAGGAGAGGGAGAGTCTTCCCGAGAAGTTGAGAATCCAGAGAGAAAATGACTGATGGATTGAAGTAATAGGACTGTGATGGGAGTGCAATAAAGACACCATCAGCCAACTCAGACCGATACGAGAAAAATTTACAACATGTAAAAAGAGATGAGATTAGTGTTAAAGGTATCTTAGAAGTTTCTAAAAATCAGTTAATCAAAAGGAAGAAAAAGTAACAGAACAATGGACCAAGAACATAAACAGGCAATTTCTAGAAAAAAACAAATGGCCAATATTTGAAGAACACTAAACTACACTCATAAGCAGATAAAGGGACATTTTAGCAAAACGAGATGTCTTTATGAGAAAAATTTGTACTGGTGAGAGGCTGTAGGAACGATGACACACAACTGGGGGCCTGTCGGTCGGCAAACATCTCTGGGGTGCAATTTGCCAGGATGTACCCAAATTCAGGTGCTGGACAGCTTTGGCCCCAGCAATTCCTCTGCTACGTTTGTCTTCTGCGGAAACGTGTACTTGTGCACAAAGATGCCGTGTGTGGGGACCCCCAGCCCCATGTGGCCAGGGAGTCCCAAGTCTCTGAGGCTGGAGGAGGGGCATCCGGGAGGCCAGGTAATGGGTGAGGCAGGAAAGGTAGGGAGACCCAGGTGGCCACACAGAGGAGTCTGGATATCACTGTACATATGATGGGAAGACAGAAGGCTCTGAGCAAAGGAGTGCCATGGTATTTTTCTCATCCGGGGAGGGAGCTGTGGCTGCCCTCTAGGAAGAGGCTGCCAGGAGGCAGGGCAGGAGCAGGGAATCGGGAGGGTCTTGTGGTGGCACTCTGGGCAAGACAATGGTCCCCCAGGTTTGCAAGGCAGCAGGGGAGGCAGAGAGAAATGGAGGCCTCTGGGATAGGTTCTGGGAGCACATACAGGAGAGGAAATAGGAGAGGGATCTTGCTCACTGGGGCCTGAGCAGCGAGGACGTTTGGTGGCACCGTCCACCGGGCCTCCCACGGATCTCTATGTAGACAGTCATAAAAACTGTACCAAAGTGACAGCAAAGGGATATAGTGAGAATGAGAGGGAGCAGACAGCGGGGTTAGGGGGAAGCATGTCATGTTCGTTGGTCTGAGAGTGAAAGACAACATTTCTGACTTTTCTACCCTTTCCATGTTGCTTTCTGAGTGAGATGTTGCATTGCTGACTGTCCGCTTTTTAATTTAAATAGCCATTGCAGAAATTAAGGTGGGCAGCTCTGCCCTGGATACTGTAGCTCTCTGCTGTCCTGGAGCAAGAAGAGGAGAGAGAATGTCAGAAAGCCAGGCCCATGGGCCGGGACACAGTGTGGATTTTAATCTACCATGTGATGGGAAGCCGCAGAGACAGGATGACAGGGTTTGATCTGGAAAGATTCCTCAGGCTGCTGTGTAGAAAACACAGGGACGGGGGTGGAGAACAGAGGCGGACTGAGGTGAGGGACATGTTCTCAAGCTAGAAAGGCTGCGGCTACACAACACTGTCAATGTACTAAATACCACTGGACTGTTGGCTTCCCAATGGTCAAAATGGTCAATTTCATGTTATGTGTATTTTACTACCAAAAAAATAACAGATGCAGGGAGACCAGTTGAAGACCAGAAGACCTCCAGGTGATGACAAGGACTCTTCCAGAAGGGTGATGTGGTGGGCAATTAAAACTGTCACATTTGGGATATGCTTAGGAGGTTAAAAGAATAGGACTACAGATGAATCAGAAATAAAAGGTACTTTTTTGTTTGGGCCTGAACAACTCCACGGATGCCTGAGCCACTTACAGGACCTGGCATGGAACACTGCACATGGCAGATGATCGAAAGATGTTCGGGAAATGAGGGGCTGATGCGAAGGGTGAACTCACAGTAGGTAAGAATCACTTAAGAACCATCCCTAAAGTTGTACCGTCCGGCCAAAGATCGTGGTGGTACATCTGTGAAGGTACAGAAGTATTCAAGTCAACTGTCCTTTGGAATTTGGAAAAGAGGCTGGCTGAGTTATGTATGAAATCATGAAGTCTCTCCACGTAGGGAAGAACGCTAGGAGGGGATGTTTAATACACCCTCCTCAGTGCCAGCAACGACACAAACTTGATTGAGCACCACCTCACCAGCGCCCCTTTGAATCAGTTCCTTCCCTGGGGCTCAGGGTCCAGACGACTCCTTAGAGAAACTGTCTAAATAGGTTCTCCTCCAAATGAGCCTGCTCACGCCCCCCCGCCAACCGTGGTCTCCGGCCAGGAGGAGCCCCACCAGCATCAGTCACCTTCCTTGGATGTCACATCCAGGGACCAGAATCTACTCCCTCCCAGCTCGAGTGTGTGGGGCCTCGGCAGCTCCATCTGAAGGAACTACTGAGACCATAATCTGCCAGGCAACCAACATTGGCAAGAGAGCAGAAACACCCAAGGGGCGACACCCACCTCAGTGAAGAAGCCCGCTATCCCGGCTTGGCAGGAGCCATGTTCCTCTCCGTACTTCTTCTTGTACTCTAGAGGGGAGGGAAGGAAAGAAAAAAACCACAGCCTCGTCAGTGTGTGCCGGTCGTGTGGAGGGGCCGCCGAGTGTGCTGGCCACTTCCCCGTGCATGGCTGCGGGCTGGGCCTGGGGACGCCTTCCAGACCGGGGCGTGGAAGGAAAGTCTCCGGAATCCACCAGACCTCAAAAATCCAGGCTCTGGTGCCATCAGGCCGGAGACAGCCAAGAGCCCCAGTGGACTCCCTCCACACCTGTGGGGGAAGAGCAGCAGCAGCCATGGTGATTAAGTGGGAGGCCAGTTACGATTATTTCATTTACTTCAGAAAGGATGGAGAGCCCCAGTAGGAAAAGGAGCTGAAAACATGACCCTGTGTGGAGTCCTCTGGAGGACAACCAAGCCGCCCAATGTGACGCCCCACAGAGCTGGAGGCAAGATGATTCCTGCCATCCAAGTAGACAGCAGCCAACGGAGCCTGGGGCTACAGGAAGAGGATCCCCGCTAGACCTGCTCCGGCACTCAGTTACACCATCCCTGCCAGTGTGTGGTGATGCCACACGCCGACATCTCCATCCTCCGACGAAGGGGAAGATCTCTCCAGGTCAACAGAAACACAAATGGTTAAGTGCTTTTCCTCCACCATTCCCTCACGGTTCCCAACATGCTGACCCTACAAAGGGGCCTTCTGCGCTGCGGTTTTAAGTTGGAAGGAAGAGTGTGTAGCATGTTCTAGGCCCTGTTAGCCACACCCACTCATGCCATTCCACTGATCTCTTATCCCTGGGAGGCCATATTGCCATCTGTGAAGAGGCAAAACTCCCAAGGCTCAGAGAGGTTAGGTGCATTGCCCAAGGTCACACAGCTAGTAAATGGCAAAAGCCAAGATTCACATACGTTCACCTCTGTGGCCCATCAAAGGTTCTGTGGAGTGAGTGATTACCCAAAACCCAGGAAGTGACCAGCCAGTTGAAATCACTATATAGGTAAAGACAGAGAGAGGAGCTCAGCTGTGTGATCAGGAGGGTCAGACAGAGAGAGTTCAGCTCAGATGACTCAAATTAATTATACTGCCAGACGAGAGCTCATGGCTGTACCTGGGCACTTGGGAACGCAACAAAATAACCCAGCGATCCCCCAGGTCACCCCTGGGCTTGTGGCAAGTCTCGGGTACCATTAGAGGCATTATACTGAATTTTGAAACAAAAGAAATAATATGAAGGAACAATGCAGCTGTGATTGCAACAGAGGGCCACTTCCTGCCACTCTAAGAGTGTCTGTGTGAGAGAAGAAGGGAGAAAAGGGCCCTGGGGAAATATACAGAGTAATTCAGTTTCTAACAACACTCACCGCAGAGCCTAGTAACATTTTCCAGTAAGTGGCCATTAACCGACTGCTAAATTACAATGGAATGTCAATTGAGTTACTCCTCTTCCTTGTGAGGGCTAAATCAGTTCCTCCCTCCTTGTCCGGTTACTCCAAGGAGAACTCATAGGCCTGCCAGAAAGCAACCCAGGACGATGGGACTCGCCTGTTCTCTGCAAAGTCTTGCACTCCCGCTGGGAGTGTGGCTTGTGAAAGTCATAAAGAGATCGTGCATCAAACTGTCCGATGGCAAGAAATAATAAAATTAATAGTAAGGCCTACATCAAATAGCATCAGGGAAAGAAGGATCAAAATGTCCCAACCCAAACAAACAGTCATATTAAATCTGGAAGGTCTGGCAAGAAGCATATTCACCCCCCACGGACTCGAGGGGTTAAATACCCAACCATAACTCTGAGGCAAATAAAACAAAGAAAATTCAGACCCCAGAAAATTCAGACCCCAAGCTACAATGCAGGACACACCAGTTCAGCCTTATTAAATTTATGACACCAATAAGAGTTACACAGGAATCTTTCATGTTTTTGTTTTGTTTTAAAGATTTTATCTATTTATTTGACAGAGATCACAAGTAGGCATAGAGGCAGGCAGAGAGAGAGAGAGGAGGAAGCAGGCTCCCCGCCGAGCAGAGAGCCCAATGCGGGGCTCAATCCCAGGACCCCGGGATCATGACCTGAGCCAAAGGCAGAGGCTTAACCCACTGAGCCACCCAGGTACCCCAGGAATCTTTCATGTTTTAAAGAAAACAACCTCAAGGTCTCCTTTGCAACAGGGACTCCAAAAATAGGAGATATGAAAACCTGTCTTTCTCCTCCTCATCCCTAAACTGTGCTGGACAGCTCTATGACAGAAACAAGACCCAGGGCTTCTAAGGGGGCCACTGGGAGCTAGGAGTAACCCACTCCTGGCCTCAGGAGAAAGTCCTGCGAGATCAAGCCCTACTACCAGCACCCCAGCCTCAGCCATCATCAAGGTACTGTTAGAGGCCAGCCCCAGGGTCCCCAAGCTGGGACTGCCTCATCAGGGATCTGAGGGTCAGGGACACACAGAAAACAGGCTCCACCCCACTGGCTTTGACTTCCTGAGACACCAGGGTCTACACCTGCCTTCTTGGGAGTGCTCTAGAGCAAGCAATCAAACCATGTGGGGCTCTGACTAGTACCCATAACTCTGACCTCCCAGAAACTTCTTTAATTCTTGGTTAGCCACTTCAACTTGGAAAGAGGCTCCAGTCCTCATGCTTCCACCCCCACCCCACCCCATCACTCCTCTTCAGCTTCTCTGTCTGTGTAATCTCGCAGCACAATGTAAATGATACCCTCTCCCCATCACAGAATGCCTCTGTTCATCATAGATGGTTTATTCAACACCAAGGTGAACTCATCGATCTCACTGCCCCCAACATGCCCTTGTGCCAGTTACTGGTATGTGCTAGTGCTGGTGTACTAAGGGAAGGTGTGCACACATGTTTCTCTGTGCACAGACTCAAAGCCCAGGTGGAAATGAGACAGGAGCAGGTACATTTCTCCAGCCGCTAAGACTTGAACTCTCAACCTGCTTACGTGGGACCTTTGAGGCCCCTGCTCTGCCAGCCCTGCCTTCTGTCTTCTTATCAGTCCGGCTACCTGACCTCCACCCCCAGCCTGGCCTGGAAAGGAGTTGCATCCTGGGAACCAGGAATCCTGAGTTCTCCACCCAGGGCCACCACTAACCCCAGAGACCTAAGAGTAGAGGCATTTGTGATTGGAGCTCGACAGGGACCCAAAGGATTGATGTTTCTGGGCTTTCAAAACCCAGACTGGCTAATTCTCCCCTAGGCAATCCCCTCTCCTTTGAGGCCTTAGGGGAATAGGATAGAATACCCAGATCCAGTTCCTGAGAAGGCAGGAGCTTTGAAAAGGGAGGTAGGTTTGGAGATAGGAGGCTGCCCCTTCCCAGTGTCCTCAAGAAACCACCCCCCCACTCCCCCCCCCACCCCCGGTCACAGTCCTTCCCTCCATTGACAAGTCCAGGCAGTGTAGGCTGGAAGGATGGGGTGGGACCTCCTCTAGTCTCCGGTGTTCCCAGAAGCACTTTTCCTGCACACACACACAGGCTGGGGGCCCTGGCGCGGGCGGCTCCTGGACACGTCCACGCAGTCGCCACCTGCCCCGAGGATATAGCCAGGCAGAGAGCTACAACAAGCTGGTTCCCTCCCTCACAGCCGGGGGGAAAAAAACATTTCTCCATCTTGAAGCAGCAAAGGGGAATCAAGGTCAGCATGACAGGAGCCCACTGTCCTGCAATAAACCTGACACAGTTAAATCCAGGGAACTGAATCTCAAGCAAAAGATGTGGGTGAACGGGGGACCTGGAAATCACCTGGAGGAGGAAAGCTCTGTCTCGCTGCTGTGGGTGGATTTGGGTTACTTGGCCTGTGTCACACAAAATTCATTAAGTTGTATGGCTCCTCCACTCTAAAAATGGTAGTATTTTCCTTGGTTTAGCTGCCGGTTTTACTAAATTCTGTCTAAACAGAAGGCAATTCAGAGAAGAGAAAATACTGGTTTCCAAATGTTCACAACCCACAACTCAATACATGGGACCTACACTAATGAATTTTAATTCATTCAAGAATTAAACTGGGTGGGGTCACTTCCTGAACTCTTCCTGAAACGCTGGTGGGATAAAACCAGCCCATGGAAAGATCAAGATCTACAGGCGGTATATTATTCCTTACTAATCTCTCTTCCCATTTGAGAAAGGTTCATCTTTCAAAGGTAGTCTTTCTAATGCATCAATTTTAAAACTGCTTTTTTCATAGCTCCTGAACTTAGCCATGAACTAGAGAAAAAAATGGGTTTCTAGTCTCAAATTATTCCTGAGGTTTTGCTCAATTTCTGAGTGAATACCAAATAATTGGTTATTGAACAATTTAGAGGACAAGTAACTTGAGTAGACAGAACTCTACTAGTAACCAGGGCATTTCAACACATAAAACTGAAAAGACAAAACTGTCCACAGTTGTGAGGGACCATAGTCTAAATGGGAAGGGGGAAAAAAGGGCAAATGACCTAAACAGCTAGGTTAGAGAGGAAGGGAAAACATTTTATCAAAATAATGGACAATTAAGCAATGGTGGGCATTAAAAGCAAACTGCACAAAGCCAGCAACTTAAAATCACGTGACAGAAGCTTTAAGAGGGGAAGAGATCTCTAGAACATGTCTATAATTCGAACCCCATCCATTTCTTTTACCGATGAAGTCACTATTGCTCAGAGAGAGCAAGTAGTTTATTTAAAGCCACACAGCAAAGGAGCCTGAGGCAGGATTAAATGGCAGGGTCCCTGACTGCCAATCTGCTTCCCTCATACCATCACGCTTCAGGGAGCACAGTCACTGTGAGAATATTCTTGTCCTTGAAAAAAATGTTTTCCATCAATGGATGAATGGATACACAAAATGTGGTATATACATCCACTCGGTGGAACTTTTCAGTCTTGAGAGGAAATTCCAACACGTGCTACAATATGAATGAACCCTGAAGACATCATGTTAAGAGAAATAAGGCAGTCACAAAAGGACAAATAAATGCATGAATTCCACTTATTTGAGGTCAAACTCATTGAGACAAAATAGAATGGCAGTTGCCA